TCTGCTTCGTTGAAATCGGTTCTTCGTTCCAAGTCACCGCCTCGGAATTCGACTTCTCGTCATCATGGGACTCCCAGTTCTGCACACTCGACTCGTCAACCTAGATCTCCTACACGGTTGACTGCTGCCTATCATTCAAGATCCAGGGATCATCGTTATCGTTGCGATATCTCCCCTCCTCACTCCCGTTCTCCTCAGTGGGTCTCCATTTGTGCATCCTCTCCCGGTTCATCTCCCTCCAGACATAGATATGGTTCTACGGATCGTCGATCTAATCAACGGTTTTCCGAGTTGCAATCTCAGCGTGCTATGACTTCTGACGGGACTCCTGCCTCCTTGCGTCTCTCTACTCAGATTTTACCAGATTCCTGGACTCCTGCGCAGGAAACTACTCCTCCCCCAGATCTGGCTGCAATTTTAAGTGCTCTTACTACTGCTTGGAATCAACAACAGGCTGCTCACTCTACGGGGAATGCTCCTCCCCTCGGACCATCTGTTACAGCGCCTAGTCCTGGTGTTCCACCTGATCCTACGTCTCCAGCACATTCGGTTGTGGATTCCCCAGAGGGAAGTTTGGATTTTGTTGATGAGCCTCAAGTTTTAGCTTTGATAGTGGAGAAACTCCACCTCCCTATGTCACAGAACCCGGAGAATTTATGTCATTCCTTCTCCATGAGACAACGAGGCTTGACATCTATTACTTTCCCGCCACGGCCTTGTATTGCTCATCTCACTACGTCCTTGGATCATGCTTTTAAAAGCCTTAAACGGATTAAGGATGACCTGTCTTCACCTAGGTTTTCTCTACCAGCAGCTCACTCCAATGGTTTCCAGTCCTTGGCTACTACCCCTTCAGTGGATGAGGATGTCCAAACACTTTGCGGGAGGACTTGTTCAACTATTCTAGTAGACAGAGAACTGTCTCACATGGACACAGCTTACCCTCGATCAACTGCCTCATCTCGGCGGTGGACGCGGTTGCGGCATCGGTGGAGCACTCTTTCACCAATCAGGATGCTTACATCAGAGGCAGTATGTCACTTATACTGGACCAATTTCAGATCGTACTTGACCAGCTGTCTCGTTTCCTTGGCTATCGCCTGGCAGTTCGACGTCACGGCCCACTCAATTTGTCTTCATGGGAAGACAGGTTTAAGGCTGAACTCTTCCGTCAACCATGGTCTGCAGAATCCTTGTTTAATGGCATGATTGGGGAAGTTTCGACGAAGGTGGATTGGGACACTCAATTTCAAGTTTCGGTCGAATTATTGAAACTCCAGAAGTCTCATCTGCAAGTTTCCATGATACAGAGGAGGCCTCCACGGTTCATGCCATCTCATTCGGAACTGCATAAGGGTATTCATGGCCATTCGTCCTGAGTAAGAGGGAGCAGGTCCTCCCGTGGCACTTCTTCCTGATGTCCTCCCAAGTCCGACTCCTGAGCTGGGAGTGGGGCCCCCAAGCAGTAACTCTTCGAAACAAGGGCACGACTGGGAACTCCCGCCTTCAGCCGTCCCCATCTACGACTCTCTGGTGGGCGGGAGACTAGGGAGGTTTGCACCCAACTGGACCATACTGGACGATCCTTTCGTGACCGACCTCATCGCCACAGGCTATCACCTTCGGTCATCGGACATCCGGCGCTGACAGTGCATCCAGTACACCGCAGCTACCCGTCGGACCAGGTCCAGGTTCTCCACTCCACCATAGGTATGCTCATAGAGAAATGTGCAGTCCAGTCTCTCGGTCTGGCGCCCAGCACTCCGGGGTTCTATTCCCCCATCTTTCTGGTTCCCAAGAAACACTCCACAAAACTAAGACTCATTTTCAACATGAAACTTTTCAATGCCTACTACCTCCAGCGCCCACCTCAATTCCGGATGGTATCAAATGTCCTTCTTCGCACCATCCTGAAGAAAGGGTATCTTCTTAGACCTTCAAGATGCTTACCTTCATGTGCCCATTCTTCCCGATTCGTGGAAATTCCTCTGATTCATATTCCAAGGGATCCATTATCAATGGACCGTCCTGTCTTTGGAATTTCCATGGCCCCGTGGCTATTTACCAGGATCACCAAGCTGATCACCAGGTTTCTTCATCTCCACGGGGTCGTGATTGAAAGTTACATAGACGACTGCATGCAGGCACAGAGAGACCAAGCCCTTCTTCTATGTCAGTTGGAGTTCAGTACAAAGCTACTCCAGTAACTATGTTGGTTGTTAAACACTGTGAAGTCGTAACTGACACCGACCCACACCCTTCAATTCATGGAGCAACTTTCGACATGCATCAGGGCCTGAGTTTCGTCCCCCAAGACAGGTGGCTGAAGATTCAACGGCTAGTTCCGTTAGCACTGTCGCAGGCCAGGACCTTACGACAGTGGCAGGAACTGTTGGGCCTCTTGACATCGGCACAGGCATTGACATGGCGGGGACAATTGCAACTGCATTCGTTGCAGCGTTTCCTGCGTCCGTATCTTGTCTCAGAGAATCTCCAGGAGTTGATTCATCTTCACTTTTCTTCAGTGGTGGCTTGTCAAACAGAACGTTTTAGCGGGGAGTTTGTTTAATGCGCACACCAAATTTGGCCTCGGCTCCGGACTATGAACCCCTAGCTCAGAAGGACTTTGAAAAGATCTCCTTCAAGACCTTCTTCCTTGTGGCCTTGGCTACAGCTGCTCAGATTTCTGAACTCCACGCTTTGGACGTTAACAGAGTCCAGTTTGAACGGAAGAAGCATGGCAAAGTCTTCCTCGGTCTCCGTTGGCATTTGTAGCAAAGAATCAGTTGCTGGGACAACCTGATCGTACTTTTACCATCCCATCGTTGTCCCACGCGATCCTTGGGCCGCATGACAATGAAGACCTGCAGCTTTGCCCTGTTAGAGCTTTGAAGATTTTTTTTGCTGCTTCTAAAGATCGCCGCTGTCTCAGCAAAGTTTCTTCATTCCATTGTCCTCAACATCCAGGGCGGAAGTGTCGCACCACTTTATCCTTCTGGATGAGAACCACCATCCTATGGGCTTACACCTTTGCTGGGTTACCACCCCGACAGCTTCCAATCCACATGAGGCACGGGCGTTAGCATCTACAATGGCTCTGCATAGTAACTGCTCTCTCCACGCCATTATAGAAGGATGTTTTTGGCGATCCGACTCGGTCTTCTCCTCGCACTACCTTCGAGACCTCTCAGTCAAGGATGTCCAAGGCCTGCACCAGTTTGGACCCCTTGTGCTCGCACAACAGCTGTCTACGGCCCACCAACACAGATAGGGAACTGTCCCTCGTGGTTGCTGCTTCCCTGTATTTTCTTGAATATGAATCTGAACTTGCTGTCTGCCTTATGTTTTGATTACTTTGGGTTAGAACTACTTCACTTTGGATTTCGTTTGCATTCCAACTCCGAAGTTGCCGGGCACATCCTTTGACTAAGCTTATGACTGAGGGTCAATTTGATGCTGTTCCGGAACTGAACTTTAAAACTTGGGAGTTCCCGAGTTGTGCTTCTCTTTCACCCACCCTGGTCGGTGTCTGTGGGGGTCTTCTCGAAGCAGGGGCTGGCCTGATTATTGTCGGGGGTACCTTGAAAATCGTGGCGAAGTGACATACTTTCTCGCTGAGCTGCGTCCTTCTTCGGAGGTTGCGGCCGAACACCACATCGCTCCCAGGGAGACGTTGTGCTTAGTAAGCCAAGGAGTTCCAGAGAACTCAGCACAAGCATAGGAGTTGCGTGCATGCGTAACAGGCCTCCCTTGTGCATTGCTATCTACAGTCATTTCCAGTCTACACAGTTCCTGCTGTTCGCACTGTCAAGACACAGGGTATCTGCGTCCCGCCTTCCGACCGTGGGATACACGGCAAACCGTGCATACCATGAGATAGGATAACTTGAAAATTTTGAAAATTTTAATATAAATTGTATATTTATATACTTATCCTATCTCACGCGACGGATTCCCGCATCCTCCCGCTATGCAGATTCTCCAAGATGGATATTATCCAGTGGCTCCAAGAATGAGAATGATGATTCGGACGGAGATAGTCACGTGGCCAGCTAGTGGTGCATGCCGCATGCTTTGCATGAGAGCTAGGAAGCTGTCTTATAGTGAGGGTAGCATGGAGTGCTTGGGCGGATGGACAAGAGAGGCCTAGGGAAAAAGTTGACATCGTTCCACTCAGTGTCGAATCAAGAGAGAGAAGTGCATACCGTGAGATAGGATAAGTATACACTTTATTTTAAAATTTTCAATTTCTTATTTTGACTCCCCACTCAACCTGCACACCCACACCCACACCCACACCCACACCCCCATCCGCACCTGAACCCACACCCACACCCCACCCGCACTCACCCTCATCCACATTCACACCCACACCCACACAAACTACACCCAAACCCAAACCCACATACACACCCACACTCTCACCCACACTCACACCCAGATCCACACCCTCACCCACACCCACACCCTCACCAACATCCACACCCACACATTCACCCTCACCCACACCCTCACCCACAACCCATCCCACACCCTCACCCACACCCTCACCAACCCTCACCCACATCCACACCCTCACCCACAACCACATCCACACCCTCACCCACATCCACACCCTCACCTACACCCACATCCACACCCACACTCTTACCCACATTCACACCCACATCCACACCCTCCCCCACACCCTCACCTACACCCTCACCCACATCCACACCCACACTCTTACCCACATTCACACCCACATCCACACCCTCACCCTCCACACCGACCCCCACACCCACATCCTCACCCTCACCATCACCCACATCCTCACCTGCACACCCCACATCCACACCCACTCACCACCACACCACAACCTGCACACTCATTCCTCTCCTCTCCTCTCCCCCCCTCCCCCTCTCATCCAATCTAAGCCGCACCAACCCTACCTGAACCCCTATCGTGAAGGAAAGGCAACATGAACAGAATAGTATTTGCTGACAACTTGTTTTACTGTAGGGTGGATCAACAGGAGAGAGAGCTCTGACAGCCTTCATCTACATAGCACTAAAGGAGAGTGAGAGCTTCCTGGCTGAAACGGTAGGTGATGTCAGTTGTGACGCTATTCCAGGTCAAGATTGTTATAGGTCCCCAGTATATGCTTGTTGAAAGATTCGACCAAATTCTGTGGGAAATCAGGTTTGGGGAACTGGCCTTTTCCAGATATGTTAATATTGCTCATGAAATCATTCAACTGGCTCGATGATTGACAGGCAGCCATAAGTAACACAAACAGTTGAAATAAACAGGTAATAGTGGAGCTATACAAGTGCAGGAGCACATGATTTATGAACTGAGATTGTGCATAGTATTGATTTGGTCTGATTTACTGCATGAATGTCATATCTTTCAATCTAGCCAAGCTTTCAGATATTCTAATGCTTCAATGTGCAATGAAATATATGGATAAATGGATAAATCTGTTGTCTCATCACCAACATCAGTGTATCATCGCCATTCTAATATGACAAATACAGAGGTACAGATAAGCTGCGCATATCTGCATAAATTACGCAAATATTTATGTGAAAACTCAATTCCTATTAAGTCTATTGCGTACAAGTACGCTTGAATTTTGGTAAATACTCAATAAATGTGATCTCACATGCGTACACACAAAAATGTCAAATCTTAGTTTGTGTACCGGTGGATAGATGCAATAACTGAGGTATATTTGAGAGGTTCTATTTCAGGATATGGACTTGACAACTTGCAGTCCTTCTTATCGTTTCTCATATTACAGATCAAATATAAATAACAAACACTAAAATTTAAACTTTATTATATTTTTAAAATTTTTGGAAAATGGCAAAATACCCATTTGAGTTTTGAGTGAAATGAGTACAATTTATTTGGTTACTCAAAGGAAAATTTGAGATGAACACAAGCAAGTACATAACTCAATGACCTAAATAGTTATCTGTAGCTCTGCAAATAGCCTGGGCCCTGACAGTACCACTGAGTCATTTCAGGAGTGACATCATCCTTTGCACATCTCCTAGTTTCTTCCAATACACTACCTCTATTACATGACAGCCATTATATATGTGTAACATCAGTGCTCACAATATACAATCTGGGGATTTTTAACACATGTATCGCTTCATTTTTAGCTCTCAGGGTCAATAGGGAGGGCTAGTTGTCGTAGCATTTGTTCGTCATACAGATGACCTGGGTGTCCCCCGCCATGATAATGCTGGAATAAGAGCAGCAAAACTAAGTGATTCAGTAAGCTGTCAACAGTCCACATGGCAGACTCAGTCATGCTGAGTGGAAACTTGTCACACTGGATCAATTCAACTTCCTGGCAGATTGTCTTGCACAGAAGAACCCATGTAATTCTGACAGAATGCCCTCTCCATCCGGAAGTGTTCAGTTGGATTACAGTAGAGAGGACTCCTCATCTAGATCTCTTTACCACTTGCCTACGCCACAGACTCCCAACTTGTGTGCATTTGGTACCAGACACAAGCTCTGGAAGTGGACACTCTATCATATTTGCTAACACATTCCTTCCTTTGTCTGTCACAGACAGATTCATCTATATCAGTGTGACTAGAAGAGACTGATAGCCCTGTCTTGGCCAATCAGGGCTCTGTACCTGTCATTTGTATATAGAACAACCCCTCAAGTTGTCAGAACATCACAATTTTTGCACTCAACCCAAATCAAACAGAGTTTATGGCAATCTTCATTGCCTCCTTTGATTATCATGTCCAAGACACAGGATTCTATGGGGTTTTTTAATTGGGCCTTAGAAAAACCTATTGGAGTTGTTGTAACAGAAAGGTGTTTGTTTAATATAGCTGAAGGCTGGTTCACTGTTTATTGAATGAAATGGATTAATGAAATGGAATGGCAGGATTAATGCTGGAAACTATTTTAAACTCTTCTCACTCACTTCCACATACCTGCTGTTGAAGGACAAGTCTTCCCTGACCAGAGCTGTGACCTACCTAGAAGGCCTGGTTGACAGCAACCAACTGACCGGCACATACGAGATGGCCATTGTAGCATACGCCCTGACGCTTGCTGGCAGTACTCGTGCCGCACCGGACTGCTGAGTAAACTAGAAGGTACATAGCTATACATCTGGTATAGTCTGGCAGAAAACTTTTTGTGACAGTGTTTGGTCACTTTACTCAAAAACTACAAGTACAATCCTATTTTTCTAATTTGGCATGATGCTTAATAATTGTTCTACCATTGTGAATTTTGAATTTCATGATTTATGATTTAATGATAATTAAATATAAGCTATTATTATGTCAAGACACAGTAACATCTTAAATGTCAAGGGCGTTAGGCAACTAATCGGAACAGCTACCTGGCCATGCAAATGTAGTGACACCATGCACATTTGCATGGCCAGGTAGCTCTTCCGATTATTCTCCTAAAACTGACTTGAATATGAAAACAGCATAAAGACATATTCACTTCCTCACTCTTAGTGTTTCACAATTTAAGGTCAAACCAAGCCATGGGAGGAGACGGTTGAGCCGGTCAATAGTGGTGGTAAAATGATGGGCCGTCAATTCATATATCACCCACCTCAGGCCGCAGCAAGTGACATCGAGACCTGGTCATACGTTCTTCTGGCATACGCTCATGGACAGCAGCTTGCTGAGGGCAGGCCATACATGAAGTGGCTTCTGACGCAACAGAGTGGAAATGGGGGATTCCGCTCCACTCAGGTCTGTACAGATTGTGTGCCCACGGTGATTGATACAGGTGTGATTGTGTTCCCATGGGGATTGATACAGGTGTGACAGTGCTTGATACAGGTGTGATTATGTGCCCACGGTGATTGATACAGGTGTGACAGTGCTTGATACAGGTGTGATTATGTGCCAACTGTGATTGATACAGCTGTGATTGTGTGCCCACGATGATTGATACAGGTGTGATTGTGTGCCCATGGTGATTGGTACAGGTGTGATTGTGTGCCCATGGTGATTGATACAGGTGTGATTGTGTGCCCACGGTGATTGATACAGGTGTGATTGTGTGCCCATGGTGATTGGTACAGGTGTGATTGTGTGCCCATGGTGATTGGTACAGGTGTGATTGTGTGCCCATGGTGATTGGTACAGGTGTGATTGTGTGCCCACGATGATTGATAAAGGTGTGATTGTGTGCCCATGGTGATTGATACAGGTGTGATTGTGTGCCCATGGTGATTGATACAGGTGTGATTGTGTGCCCATGGTGATTGGTACAGGTGTGATTGTGTGCCCATGGTGATTGATACAGCTGTGATTGTGTGCCCACGGTGATTGATAAAGGTGTGATTGTGTGCCCACGGTGATTGATACAGGTGTGACAGTGATTGATACAGCTGTGATTGTGTGCCCACAGTGATTCATGCAGCTGTGATTGTGTGCCCACAGTGATTGATACAGGTGTGATTGTGTGCCCACGGTGATTGATAAAGCTGTGATTGTGTGCCAACGGTGATTGATAAAGGTGTGATTGTGTGCCCAACGGTGATTGATACAGGTGTGACAGTGATTGATACAGCTGTGATTGTGTGCCCACGGTGATTGATACAGCTGTGATTGTGTGCCAACGGTGATTGATAAAGGTGTGATTGTGTGCCCACGGTGATTGATACAGGTGTGATGACGGTGATACAGCTGTGATTTGTGCCCACGGTGATTGATAAAGCTGTGATTGTGTGCCCAGGGTGATTGATAAAGGTGTGATTGTGTGCCCAGGGTGATTGATACAGGTGTGACAGTGATTGATACAGGTGTGATTGTGTGCCCACGGTGATTGATAAAGCTGTGATTGTGTGCCCACGGTGATTGATAAAGGTGTGATTGTGTGCCCAGGGTGATTGATACAGGTGTGACAGTGATTGATACAGCTGTGATTGTGTGCCCACAGTGATTCATGCAGCTGTGATTGTGTGCCCACAGTGATTGATACAGCTGTGATTGTGTGCCCAGGGTGATTGATACAGGTGTGATTGTGTGCCCACGGTGATTGATAAAGGTGTGATTGTGTGCCCAGGGTGATTGATACAGCTGTGATTGTGTGCCCACGGTGATTGATACAGGTGTGATTGTGTGCCCACGGTGATTGATAAAGGTGTGATTGTGTGCCCAGGGTGATTGATACAGGTGTGACAGTGATTGATACAGCTGTGATTGTGTGCCCACAGTGATTCATGCAGCTGTGATTGTGTGCCCACGGTGATTGATACAGGTGTGATTGTGTGCCCACGGTGATTGATAAAGCTGTGATTGTGTGCCAACGGTGATTGATAAAGGTGTGATTGGGTGCCCACAGTGATTGATACAGGTGTGATTGTGTGCCCACGGTGATTGATACAGCTGTGATTGGGTGCCCACAGTGATTGATACAGCTGTGATTGTGTGCCCACGGTGATTGATACAGGTGTGATTGTGTGCCCAGGGTGATTGATACAGGTGTGATTGTGTGCCCACAGTGATTCATGCAGCTGTGATTGTGTGCCCAGGGTGATTGATACAGGTGTGATTGTGTGCCCAGGGTGATTGATACAGGTGTGATTGGGTGCCCACGGTGCCAATAATTATTAAGGCAAAGCCAATTTGTGTGCCGGTTTGTTCCAAACCTGATTGATAGAGATCTGGTTAGTGAGAGGCCATTTGAAATAGGAGTGAGGATCTGCTGAGATTAAGCAGGGGTGACAAAGTTTGACGTAGTCCTAAGACTAATCTCACCGGTACTCTCATCACTTCTGCTGTGAAAGTTATCTACTTAAATCGATGTTGTGTCTCTGTTATTGTCAAATGATTGATACGATTGATGCATGCATGGATCTTGTGAAAATAGTCCTGCCAGTGTCATTATTGCACTGGGGCTGTGGGGTAGCCTAGTGGTTAAAGCCCTCACTCGTCACACTGAAGACCCAGGTTCGATTCCCTACATGGGTACAATGTGTGAAGCCCATTTCTGGTGATATTGCCGTGATATTGCTGGAATATTGCTAAAAGCGGCTTAAGACTGCACACATGCACTCACTCACTCACTCACTCCCACCATATTGCTGGAATGTTGCTGGGTGCCGCGTAAAACTAAACTCACTCACTCACTCACTCATTATTGCACAGATTTCGTCACATGTTTTCTACAGTGATCTAATGCAGCTAAAATGAGAACATTAATGTTTCTGATCTAGGACACTGTGATAGGACTATCAGCCCTAGCGGAGTACGCAGCCCTGGTATACACCTCGCCTCAGACTGAGATCTCACTGACCGTCAAGGCCAACGCTGAATCTGGCACAGAGTCCAAGGTGTTCATGGTCCAGAAGAATAAATTGCTGTTGCTGCAATCCTATGTGGTCTGTATCACTCTCTTCTTCTGCATGGAATAGCAGTCCTTGCCAAACCCGTGAAGATCCAGTTTTAGAATTGGTCTTTATAGAATAGCAGTGCTTGTCAAATCCGTGAAGATCCAGTTTTGCAATTGGTCTTTATAGAATAACAGTGTTTGGCAAACCCGTGAAGATCCAGTTTTAGAATTGGTCTTTATGGAATAACAGTGCTTGTCATACCCGTGAAGATCCAGTTTTAGAATTGGTTTTTACAGAATAGCCGTGTGAAGATCCTTGAATTGTTTTTACAGAATGGCAGTACCAAACCCGTGAAGATCCTGTCAAAGGCTAAGGCACCAGGCTAGTAATCCAGCGAGCTTGAGGTGCAGGGATCGAGCCCACCTGTGACCGGGTGTAAAAACCTTGGAGTCAACTTTCTGTCCAGACTCTTTCAATGTTGTCACAACCCCTAGTGTACAGTTACACAACCCTGTGCACTTAAAAGAACCCACTAATCCGTTGGTATATGACCAGATGGTGGCCACATGAATACGTGCAAACACCTAGTTGCGGGTACAGCAACGTGCAGTAAACTTGGACAAAGTACTGTGACTATGTGTCCCAGTCAACCCAGCTGTGACTGGGTACCTCGTAAGGATGTGAAAGCCACATTAACTCAGTGTGCCTAGTGGCTGCAAGAGTTGTATACTCCCCAGGGAGTTGAGATTGACATCCTATGATCGAGGAAAAAAAAAGCCTGTGAGCAGCCTAGCTGGAACTTGGTGCTATAAAAATAGATGATAATAATAAATAATAATAAAAACCTGTGAAGATCCAGTTTTAGAATTGGTGTTTACAAAATAGCAGTGCTTATCAAACCCGTCAAGATCCAGTTTTAGAATTGGTCTTTATGGAATAACAGTGCTTGTCATACCCATGAAGATCCAGTTTTAGAATTGGTCTTTATAGAATAGCAGTCCTTGTCAAACACGTGAAGATCCTGTTTTGCTATTGGTCTTTATGGAATCGCAGTGCTTGTCAAACCCGTGAACATCGGGTTTAGACTTGGTCTAAAGGTTCGGGTGGTCAGGCTCGCTCACTTGATTCACACATGTTATCTTATTCCAGTGGCATTAATATTCATGCTGTTCATCACTGGATTGTCTGGTCTAGACTAAATTATTTACAGATCACCTCCATATAGCTATATTGCTAAATGCTGTGTTAAGCAACAAACAAAGAACAACATACTTGTCAAACTTATTGTCAAACGTCTTATTCCTTTTTTCAGTAAAACTATTTACGTCTGGAGCCCCTGTATATTACTTTCTTGTCCATCTAAAGTTTCACCAGATTGCCCACTTACTTGATTATCATCCAACACTGGTCCACTAGTGGTGTAGTAGGACTCTCCAATTTGTAACCAATGAAATGGCATGGAATCACTTTCAATGTATTTGGTAATGAATCTTGTATTTGCAGTTTCCAAAAGACACTACATCTCTTGAACTGACTGCCACAGGAATGGGCTTGGCTGTTGTCAAGGTAACAACATTGCTGCATTTACATCATTGTTGTACTTAGTACTGAGGTGATAGTGATAAAAAAACAAATAACACTAGCATGTTATAGGAATAATCTGTGAATGGCTGCTAACAATATGTTACTTGTGTTAAGCATGGAATATATTCTTCTCTATGCAGCCTAATAGCAGTTGGCTGCACAGGTATAGGGTTTGCCAGTTGTACACGGTCTGAAGATCAGTGTATGACTGTGTGTAAAGCCCAATTTTTAAACTTATCCTATCTCACGCCTTGTACTCTCTCTCTCTTATGTCGACCTTAGAATGGAAGCATGTTGTTTACAATAAAGTTGAACAAAGTTTCTGACCTCTTTGATCCTCTCGCCCGAACCCTTCTTACTGCACTTCTCGGACGTCTGGGCAGCTTCCAAAGCATGGAACACGGCCTCCGGTTGGTCACGTGACTCCCCTGTCTAGTCATACTCTTTCTTGTCGTATACGAGTGCAGATGTGTTTGTTACTCTGTCATTGGATCACACCCGGCATTTATGGGTAAAGACAGGTCTTCAAGAAAATGCAAAGTTTGTGATAAGTGCAGGAAGAACTACTCTTCTGCGAATCCTCATCCATTATGCAATGACTGTCTGGGTTCATGTGCATGGACTAAAAGACACCAAATAGATTTTGTTTAGACAGACGTATTAAGAAAGCTCATTGGACATCCCCTTCGCCAGAGCAGGATGACTTCCTTGATACCTCATCTGACGCATACCTCTCGGACGTTTCCACCAGACATCAGTCTATGGTTTTGTCTAGCGTTGTTGTGGTGGGTCACTCACTAGATTAACCTGCCTTGATGTTACCTCCATCTTCACCTTCTACTATGGACGTCACTAGAGGATCGGCATTATCCTCCTTTACTCAGCTCAGCGTGGATTCAGGACACATCCCAGGAGCAGGCAATCCCATCGTCATGACAAGTGTCAATCTCTACAGCATTCTGCATGGGATCAACGTACTCCCCGGCATCGATGAACCCATCAACGACAGTCTTCTCTGCACCTTTGGCGGTCTTTCAGGGATCTTGGATCCCACCTTCAGCACTTTAAGCAGGATCAGCGAATTTCCAGGGATTGTCTTTTCCTCCAGCACCATTGTTCCCGACACAGTCATCGTTCCTACGGGGATTGGCTATCCCGCCTCCTTTAATGCTGTACCCAGGATCAGTGAATCTACCAGGATCAGTGCTACAGCCTTTCCTTCTCCATTGGCCATCCTGTCGGGATCAGTGACCCCACCTCCTTCGATGCTATATCCAGGATCGGCGGATTGCCTGGGATCAAGGATACCGCTTGCAATTACACCTTCGGCGACTCTACCGGGTCCCATCTACATCGATCTCCACTACATTCTGGTGATCTTGTCTGGACTTCTTTACCTCCATTGTCTTCTTCTGCAACTACTCAACTACATCAGCAATGCCTCCGGATTCAGTGACTCCCTCCCGCTCGATGATCCCTACTACTCAGACCATACCGCCAGTTTTGTGGATCTTTACACACACAACCTCCGTAGACTTGCTTTCGCCCTTTGTTATGACATTGAGGGATCTTTCCTCCATCACCTTCCCTCCCAGGCGATGCATCAGTCAGTTGGCAGCCTCCTTGGATGCATGGTTTGCTACTCTCAAGAGTGTCAAGGATGCTTTCTCAGCTCCTAAATTCTACTTGGCTGATTCTGAAAATCTGGTGAGGTGAGACAGCTGCTGATCTTGCGAATGATAACAACATTTACTCGGGACGCCCATTCCCTGGGAGGTTTTGTGCTGTGTAAGTCAAGGGGTTTGTAAAAAGAGAGAGAGATAGAGAACTTTCAATTCTTGGTGAAACCTTATCGTCAATATAAAACAGTTTAAGGTAGATGTCTTAGTGTGATCTGCATTACTGAGAAATAGATTTTAAAAAACACCTTGTTACTGAGAAACTAACTTTAGAAAAATCAGCTTCTTACTTTCAGTGTTGATTGCTAGAGAGGTTTTCTAACACTGCATCCCCTTGGATGCTACTCTGCCTGTGTTGAGTCAACATAAGGGATACACATAGAATGTCAACGTAATGCATACCACGCCATTGTATAGCTTGTCACACAGTCCTCTGCTCCAGGGGTATTTCCATTTTCTACAGAAATCTGTATCAAAATACATATACATGCCAGTTTTTCTCAAGCTTGTATTTAAATTTCCTGCAGAAATCCATTTAAAAACGCATATACCTGCCAAATTTTCTCAAGCTTGTGTTTCCATTTCCTGCAGAAATCTGTTTCAAAACACATATACATGCCAAATTTTCTCAAGCAGAAATCTGTTTCAAAACACATATACATGCCAAATTTTCTCAAGCTTGTGTTTCCATTTCCTGCAGAAATCTGTTTCAAAACACATATACATGCCAAATTTTCTCAAGCTTGTGTTTCCATTTCCTGCAGAAATCTGTTTCAAAACACATATACATGCCAAATTTTCTCAAGCTTGTCTAGCTCTAATGTTCATCTGTGGTCGTAGACTTTGACAATGGCTGCTTTACCACTTTCAGATTCTGTGGCAGTACAACACAAATACCACTGTTGTGAAGAAGACCAATACTACAGAGATTGATGTGTCAGTTGTGACATACAAACTCCAAGAGAATCTCTACAATCTGAAGGGATGTTTCAGGTAAAGCTGACATGTAGGGATGATGAGTACATATATACATAACGAGTTGTATGACTGGTGGAGACTTGGATCCTGACTCACATCACTTGTGTATATGCTTCATGTTAGTCAATTGACTTGCATTGATCTTTCAGCTCCCAACAGTCTAACCTGGGCATGACCGTGGTGTCATTTGAGATGCCGACAATGTCGTCACTGGCTAATGAAGACATGCTGGCTGGAAATAGAGACGTCAAGCGTGTTGACAATGATGGCGATCATGTTCATCTCTATTTCAATGAGGTCAGCATTTTAGCATAGCATATCATATCAGTATGGGAATTCCAAGCTTAGAATAGGTCGGCAGAGACCAATTGTTATAGCTTGTAGGGCTGTGATGATGCATTGAACTATGGATGCATTGCAATTGTTGAGTCTCCAATAGCAATTAATCAATGGTAGATACTGAAAAAACTGTCCATGCATCGATAGTATGTGTGACTATCAATAGCTTAGTAATTGACTTCCGTTGATAAATGCTCAGTGCAAAATACAGGATGTTTGGGTGCAGACTTGCAGCTTCATTGAGTTTATGTTTCAACTACCAACTCTGTGGTGTAGTGGTTAGAGCATCCGCCCAGAGAGCGGAAGGTCGCAGGTTCGATCCCGACTGCGTCATACCAAAAGACGTTAAAATATGGTACTTGTTGGTCCCTTCCTTTATGGCATTAATGGGTACAACAAGGACTAGTCGGCTCGGAGTCAGTATAATGTGTCTGAGTGGGGTATCTCAGTGGGCTAGCACTATAAAACCAGCTTCAGTCTGGGCTAGTACAAGCAGCCGCACATACACATACACACGCATGCACATCATCATATGAGCGAAATATTCTCAAGCACGACGTTAAACCCAATTTCACCTCACCTCACCTTATGTTTCAACTGTTTATTTGATCTGGATTTCAAGTTTCTTGTCAGTTATTAAAAGAGACTGAAACTACTTCAACCTGCTTTTATTTCATATAAACTATACAATCATTTGGGAAAAAACTTCAAATGAGACAATTCTAATAAAACTATTGTAATGGTATTGGAATAGTTGGTCTAGATAGACTATCGCTGTCGTAATAGTTGTTTTCCCCTCAATAGTCACCCTTGATAGCCTGATCAGAGGATCAGACTCATCGTACTTGAGTGATGTCAGATTATCCTCATTAATCAAATGAGACTCAATTACCTAGCTGGAATATTGCTGAGTGGGGTGTGAGGCAACAACACATGCATGTATGTATGTACATAAACAAGAGATTTCTTCATAGACATACTATATAGACTTTTGAATTTTGATTATATTAGTGTTCAGATATTGCGATAATTTAAAAACGACACACAATGTATTTGTTTGTATTTAGAATAACCATGGCTACAGCAATCTAAGGTGTTAAAGTTGTTCAGCACTTGTCTACCTGTGTCTTACATGAAACAGTTTCTGCCTTCAGCCCCGCAAGGAACCTCAGTGTGTGGACGTCCACGTCAGGAGAGATGCCCCTGTGGCCAACCTGCAGGCAGCCTCCATGAAAGCAGTCGCATACTACCAGCCAGGTACGTGGTTACTTGTACTCTGTCGCATACTACCAGCCAGGTACTTGGTTACTTGTACTTTGTCATATACTACCAGCCAGGTACGTGGTTACTTGTACTTTGTCATATACTACCAGCCAGGTACATGGTTACTTGTACTCTGTCGCATACTACCAGCCAGGTACGTGGTTACTTGTACTTTGTCATATACTACCAGCCAGGTACGTGGTTACTTGTACTCTGTCGCATACTACCAGCCAGGTACATGGTTACTTGTACTCTGTCGCATACTACCAGCCAGGTACTTGGTTACTTGTACTCTGTCGTATACTACCAGCCAGGTACTTTGTTACTTGTACTCTGTCGTATACTACCAGCCAGGTACTTGGTTACTTTTACTCTGTCATATACTACCAGCAAGGTACTTGGTTACTTGTACTCTGTCGTATACTACCAGCAAGGTACTTGGTTACTTGTACTCTGTCGTATACTACCAGCCAGGTACTTGGTTACTTGTACTCTGTCGTATACTACCAGCCAGGTACTTGGTTACTTGTACTTTGTCATATACTACCAGCCAGGTACGTGGTTACTTGTACTCTGTCGCACACTACCAGCCAGGTACTTGGTTACTTGTAATCTGTCGTATACTACCAGCCAGGTACCTGGTTACTTGTACTTTGTCGTATACTACCAGCCAGGTACTTGGTTACTTGTACTCTGTTGCATACTACCAGCCAGGTACTTGGTTACTTGTACTCTGTCGTATACTACCAGCCAGGTACTTGGTTACTTGTACTCTGTCATATACTACCAGCCAGGTACTTGGTTACTTGTACTCTGTCATATACTTCCAGCCAGGTACTTGGTTACTTGTACTCTGTCGTATACTACCAGCCAGGTACTTGGCTACTTGTACTCTGTGGTATACTACCAGCCTGGTACTTGGTTAATTGTACTGTCGCATACTACCAGCCAGGTACTTGGTTACTTGTACTCTGTCATATACTACCAGCCAGGTACTTGGTTAATTGTACTGTCGCATACTACCAGCCAGGTACTTGGTTACTTGTACTCTGTCATATACTACAAGCCAGGAACTTGGTTACTTGTACTCTGTCGTATACTACCAGCCAGGTACTTGGTTACTTGTACTTTGTCGTATACTACCAGCCAGGTACTTGGTTACTTGTACTCTGTCATATACTACCAGCCAGGTACATGGTTACTTGTACTCTGTCATATACTACCAGCCAGGTACTTGGTTACTTGTACTCTGTCCCATACTACCAGCCAGGTACTTGGTTACTTGTACTCTGTCGTCATACTACCAGCCAGGTACTTGGTTACTTGTACTCTGTCACATACTACCAGCCAGGTACTTGGTTACTTGTACTCTGTCGTATACTACCAGCCAGGTACTTGGTTACTTGTACTCTGTCCCTGTCCCATACTACCAGCCAGGTACTTGGTTACTTTACTTGTACTCTGTCATCATCTTTATACTACCAGCCAGGTACCTGGTTACTTGTACTCTGTCACATACTACCAGCCAGGTACTTGGTTACTTGTACTCTGTCGTATGCTACCAGCCAGGTACTTGGTTAATTGTACTGTCGTATGCTACCAGCCAGGTAGGATATTACCATCTTGACATACTCCAGGACGTACTCTGTTGTGTATTACCAGCCAGGTAGGATATTACCATCTTGACATACTCCAGGACGTATACTCTCTGTGGGATGAATTACAGGCTGTCCTGTCCCCAGATATGATCCTGACTGCTACATAAAACAACAGTCACCCCTTCCACTTCCAAGTAGCATCAGTGATCGACATCTTTTGACTCTCCTTACACATTACGCTGGCACCCCTTAACAATATCGACATGCTTTCTGAATAATGTTACACCTCCTGATGCATTTGTCCTCGTTTTGGTTTTCAGAAGTGGAGAAGGATGTTCTGTACACACTTGAAGAAGGTGAAGATATTTGCAGCATGTGTGGTACATCCTGCCCTTCAAGCTGCGACACCAGTGCAGCCAGCATCCAGAGACTCCACAGCTTCCTCCTTGCAGGTGTCATCTGCCTCCTCCTCAGCCTCATTCTGGCCCTGTAACCATGGAAACAGCTCAGTGATTCATGACAAGGAGACAGCAGGGGTTGCACATGATGAAGAACTTGATAAATTCTGAAAATTTTGTGACTGCCATGTCTGTTTCTATTCATGTTCACGGTGAATTTTATTGAGTATGTGCTCCCTACGTTACGGTTCTGATAGTGTAGACGTTTTAGTCGTAATATGCTTGGTTACTTGAGAAGAGGCATTGTAAATATTCCTTTACTATCAAATACCAAGTAATCACTTTGTTTCAACCTTCAAAATGTATAAGATAGCTGATTTGAGGAAAATATTCTAAAAATTTGGATTTTATTATTATATAATCTACTGGCTGTAAATATTGGTCATGCACTGGTACTAAACTAATGGTAAAATGAAGACTCAAATTTGTTTTGTTTTAACCTTGAAACTGCTGTGCATTGCTTTAGAGATTTAAAAATAATCATAAATTTAACCATGACAACATAATGTACCACCGGTTTGAGTTTGTTTCAGCCAATTGGGCTAATAAAGACCTGGAGATAAATGTTCAATGTGGCTGCTAAAGCCTTTAGAGAAAGTGTGATCACATTTGAATTTGTGCTTGTTCACTTGGAATTGTTATAGATCAATACATATTCACCAATAGCAGGTTGTCCAGACACAGATGGCAATAAAAGAGTGAGACTTTTGTAAATTCGTACAACAAAAATGTCCTAAAGATTGATGAATCCATATCTTAAAGAGACTGACGCATTCATGTATAAAATGAAATTATGTTAATGTTTATGGTGTTTGATCAAAGAAAAGTAAAGCATTATTATTTATGTTCCTAGGCAGTAAATAGCCAAATACAATATTCAGCCATTCCATGAAGACTGTGATTAGCCATGTTCACTCTGATGGACATATCTGTTTGATATATATATGTACATATTTTTTTCTATATTTTTGACATGGTAATGGACTTTATATGAGGATCAGTGTATGAATGATTCAGAGTAATCTGTGTTCAGGATCCGTAGGCTGACAATACCATGTTAAAGTGCCGGTCACAATTTTGGATGGTGCTTATTGGCCATTTTTTCACACTTATATGTCTGTCTGAAAATATCAAAAGCATAATAATTGCTTACCTTTGTGTCTTCATTGAACAGTACTATAGTACTACATTAAACAGCACTGAGGTCATTATGATCTAATTATGACTGTGGTGTCTCTACCAGCAGTAATTGTGACTCTTCATGTCAGTAGCATGTCATCCTTCTTTCATCATGTTTGTTTCCATTAGCAGGATTGAGGAACATGGAATGAATGGCGTGCAATAATATCTTTCAAAATAACTCCTAAATACAAATATATTCATAAATATTTTCTTAGCCATGTTATGAAAAAATAATTCAGAATCAATCTATTGATGTTTTGGCCTCACCATAGAAACAATTTGAATGATTCCACTTCAGAATCTAAGGAATTATGAAAATATTGATTTGTTGTAGCTGTGTCATAAATATTGTGGTCGCATTGTTAAACAGTTCATGTGGTCATGGTGATATATGTGTCCTTTGAACTTGTACTTTGTTTGTAAACAAACTTACATGTGACCTGAATCTCCTTGTCATCAATGAGTGAGTCAGTATGGTTTTACGCTGCTGTTAGCAATATTCCAGCAATACAACCAAGTGGTTAAAGCATTCGCTCGTCACACCGAAGACCTCGGGTTCGATTCCCCACATGGGTACAATGTGTGAAGCCCATTTCTGGTGTCCCCTGCCATGATATTGCTGGAATATTGCTAAAAGTGACATAAATTAAACTCACTCACTCACTGCAGTTGTGAAAAGCTGTCTTCTTACGTTTACCAGTAAGCTGATGTATGACATTAATTCCCGGATACTACTTTCTTTTAAGATTCTGGTGCTTTATGATTTTGAACTTAAACTTTTTCCCTAAACCACATGTACAGTAACCCAGTGATGTTTCCATGTGCTGTTTTGTCTGATAACTATATGTTATTAATAGTTGATGTCAAATTGTTTCAAAGACACTTTTCATAGATGTTATGCAAACTTGCTGGTTCCCCATTGTAATTGTTAACATTTCAGCAGATTCTATGAAATTTTATACTTATCTTTTGAAACATATTTTATGCAATGCCTTTGTTTACTGTGAAATTTCATAATGAAGGTGATTTTCATGTTTGTTTTTAAGTGCCGGTTTCTACAAATTGGATTTTTAAAATGTTTTATAAGTTGAAGAATTATTGTTTCAGGAATGTATTTGGATATATTTCAACATGTGGGTTTTCTTTACACCTGCTTTTGGTGTTGTATTGTCGTTTTGTTTTCAGTACCATGCATTTTGGGGGTTGTGTTGTTTTAGAAGTGCCTTTTATGACATATCCTCACAGTGCTTTGAATAAATATTTTTACTGGAATAAACAGTTAGAGCATAATGATGGTGTGTGTTATGTTTTAGGGGCCAGTATCTTTTTAAGACACAAGAGTAAGACAATCTTTAAACTTATCCTATCTCACGGTATGCACCTCTCTTTTTCTTCTACAACCATGTGTGGAAACGTGCTGTAGGCTAAGTTGAATCAAATCTTACTGGCCTCTGACCCCCCTGACCTCTGCCCCCACTCCGATATCAGCACCTGTCAATCATCTCTATAAGCGTGCAGCTCGCTCAGATGATCATGTGACTACCTGTGCCTGTCATTCTCTTTCTTGTCGCTACGTCGTGTGGACGTGTGCTTGTCTCTAAGAAAGCTTGATTGTTGTTTCAACATGGGTAAATCAAATCGTAATGAGTAGTATACACAATGGGACCACGGGACCAGGTCCCCCCCCAATGGCTCGATTGAGCCCTTGGGAAGTCCCTAATGCAGTAGCCCCATTGTGTATACTACTACTGAGGTGCATGCAAAATTTGATGAAAATCAGTTGAATAGTTTCTGAAATATTGACTTTTAAGTGAGCATGGGGTCGGTCGGGAAAAGGCAAAATGTCCAACTTTTTGTCGTAATTAAGTCTTAATTAATCTAATGAAGTCATCGAGAGTGTTCCGAATGCCGTTTTGCTATAGCGTAACCATCTGCCGAGATGCATGCAAAATTTCATGAAAATCGGTCAAATAGTTTAGGAAATAATCACTTTTTAGTTATATACTAGGCACATAAAGAAACTGTGCATTGTCAAAATATTATCCCAGTTGATAAGTACGATAACAATGTCAAAGGTACATATAAACTTTAGTGGAGGGATCATGAGACCATAACAAGTCGGGAGAATTTCAATTGAAAAGTCAATCACAATGACGTCACGAGTCCACAATGGCCTCATGACGTTGTGCAGACGTGAGCTTTGGCATGCTATGCGTTTCAATAGCCGTTTAATTTTTTGAACGATCGCAAGGGAAGGGTTGAGCTTTCCAAAGTGACAGTATTGTGTGGCATTCATTTGCTCTGTTTCTCTTTCCCGGAATGCACGTGCAACAACGTATTGCACGTCTCAAGGACGAACCCACTGACGTCACGGAACGTGGCACGTGCATGCATGTTGGATACATGTCACTAATCTCTGAGTTTGAATCCTTATGTGTCTACACAGGTTTGATAAATTTGGATTTTAAATTTTTGTATGCACAGTTTCTTTATGTGCCTAGTATATATTATAGAGGCGAGAGGTGTTTTTAGCTGAATGAAACGCAGGTCTCGGCAGTCATCACCTCGATACCGTCTCGGGGGTTGCTTTGAGCAAGTGTGTGTGTGCGCTTGTGTCTCTCGGCTCGGCTATGATGATGCACAGCCGGCTGACTAGCGAGGCTACAGATGTCTGAAAGTGAATGAAACGCATCTCTCGGCAGTTTCCCCCCGGTTCGTCGTCTCGGTATCACTGAGCGAGCGTTTTGGGCGAGTCACATTGTGTGGCTCGTGCCCTACTGGCCGCCCAGAAGTTGGTTCGTAAATCTTCAAGAACTAGCCGAACCAAATTCCGTACCACTTCCCGATCGACTCAATCTACTGGTTCATCTGCACTCCGGCGAACTTCATTGGTCCCCGCACACGCTCCATCTTCACGCTTGCCGCATTTACATCGGTCGCTAACGGCCAAGGGCTATGCGAAGCGTGTTGCTACTGCCATCACTACACCGCATCGCACCTCCAATAGGTCACTCTACAATGACAAGTGGAAGAATTTTGAAGCGTATTGCAGGAAGAAGGGCATAACATCTCCCACTACGGCATCCCCGCAGATGGTAGCAGAGTACTTTCAGCATCTTCGAACCCCCAGAAAACTCCAAGGTTCTACGCTATCTACTTACCTGGCTGCCCTTAACACTGTTATTGCGTTGGCCTCAGGTGTGAAGGTGTCCACTGTCCCTGTTCTCCAGTCTCTCCTCAGGTGTTATAAACTTGCTGACCAATCCCGGAAGTTCCGGCCTCCAGCTTGGGATCTTTCCGTTGTGCCTGCTCATCTCACGTCAGCTGATTATGAACCTTTGGAGGAGAAAGATTTCGAACATGTCTCCTGTAAGAACTTCTTTCTCCTGGCCTTGGCTACTGCTGCCCGTATTTCCGAGTTGCACACTCTCGATGTCTCTCGGGTACGATTTGAGAGATCTAGACATACTAGAGTTTTCCTTGGTTTGCGGTGGGATTTTCTCGGTAAGAATCAGTTACCAGGACAGCCGGATCGCACGTTCACGATTCCACCGTTGTCCACTATCTTGGGCCCAGATGACATAGAAGATCTTTCCTTATGCCCGGTTCGAGCATTACAGATTTATCTAGCTGCCTCGCAGGATATCGCCACAGACTGCATAAGAGATTGTTCATTCCATTGTCTACTGCCTCCGCCTCGGAAGTCTCACGCACTACCTTGGCGTTTTGGATGAGAACTACGATCTTGCGTGCCTATGCCTTTGCTGACCTGCCTCCACCGTCGACGGCGAAGCCTCATGAGACTCTCGCTCTCGCTTCCACCATGGCGCCTACAGGAATTGTTCCCTCCATTCTATCATGGAGGGATGTTTTTGGAAATCAGATACTGTGTTCGCCTCACACTACCTGCGTGATCTCTCGGTTACAGACGTGGAAGGTCTACATCAATTCGGCCCCCTGGTCCTGGCGCAGCAATTGTCATCGGCCCGCGTTCGCAGATAAAGCAATCCTTCTTTGGTCGGTTTTGCTCTGTACATAATAAAAGATATCGATATAATCCATGTCTTGGTACTTTTTTCATTTGGGCTTACATCATTCTCACCTAGGGGACTAGGGCGTGTTTGCACTGTCATAAATATGACTGGATAGACTGTGAGGCAAGTCTTGTGCTACATGCAGAGATGGTCGACATTCCGCTTACTGACCTTTACTCTACCTTTGAGCAATCACGTCAGTGAAGTGTTGATTTCCGATTACCTACATGGTTTTCGAAGCGTTCCGCTCCTAAGTCCATTCTCACCTTTGGTAAGTTGGGGGGGATTGGTACTGAACGTTAAGCTAGTTGAGCAACCGGGCTATTCCCTCTTTCACCGCCTTCCAGCGTGTGTCTGTGGGGGGTAGTTTGGAAGCAAGAACTGGCCAGATTAAGGTCTTCGACTTTAATTCACCTGTTAAATCGCGGGGCGGGGGGGCCTACTTGCCAAACTGCGTTCTTTTTCTTGTCAAAAGTTGCAGCATTAATTCGGGAGCGCCCACTCCCCAGAGTTTTTGTGCTATGTAAGCCAAGGGGTTACCTGAAGAAACACATCACAAGTTTGGAGTTTGCATATCGGGAGTTGGTGCTTTCTCCTGGCCTCCTTGGGTTATGCGTCTTCACGGTTGTAAGTATTGACAGGGTAATCTGCGGCCCTCCTACCAACCGTGGGATTGTGCATACCGTGAGATAGGATAAGTTTAAAAATTTGGAAATTTTACTATAAATTGTATATTTATATACTTATCCTATCTCACGCGATGGATACCCACCCGACCTGCCCCACATCACAGATTACTGGAAGCTCCAAGACGAGAATGACAGGCACAGGTAGTCACGTGATCATCTGAGCGAGCTGCACGCTTATAGAGATGATTGACAGGTGCTGATATCGGAGTGGGGGCAGAGGTCAGGGGGGTCAGAGGCCAGTAAGATTTGATTCAACTTTGCCTACAGCACGTTTCCACACATGGTCGTAGAAGAAGAAGAGAGGTGCATGCCGTGAGATAGGATAAGTACATAAATATACAATTTATAATAAAATTTTCAAGTCCTTGTTTCCCATACCCTTAAAAGTGTAGGGTTTTGTGTATGAGGCCCCATAACAGGGAATATTCATGACCCTCGCCTGTAAGATCAGAAGCTGCCAAGACCTGTCATATTGCTGATTGCTGTTTGATGTGACATACTGCAGGCCACCATGACACCAGAAATAGCCGTCACACATTGTACCCATGTGGGAATCGTACCCAGGTCTTCAGCGTTTCGAGAGGACGCTTTAACCACTAGGCTACAGCACTGCCCCGAGCTCTTGATGAAGCTTGGTGACTTCAGTGTTCACCAACTGTAACTTTGACTGGTTAAAAAAAATACGAAAATTCGACGTCAGATATGAATTCCAAGGGGCGTATGCTTAATGGATAACCCAAGCTGGTAAGATATATATATATATACTATGTGCGGATGTTGTGTTTAGACCATAGGAACCTAGCTGATTCCATGTGCTTAGATCCCAAACATGTTGTGATAGAACACACCAGATCTCAACATGCCTTGTGTGTATTTGCATTCCAAACAGTTTCGTTTTCATTTTCAAATGAAGCGGGCATAAAATTTTCGATTCCTGTGCTGTGATTCGAGCCACGGACCTTCTAATCAGAAGTCGGACGCCTTGTCCACACGACCAAAGAAGTTGTCTACATCAGCAAGCTGACAAGAGGATGCCATGTATGGGATGAAACGCCCTGCCTCATAAACAAACAACCAAACCCCACTATAACATCACCAGTTTATTAAAGGTCGTATCTCATTTGGTTTTCCTCAAAATATAAAGACCTCATTAATTGAGAACATTTTATTTTCATCGATTACAAAAGTACAATACATACGTTATATTGTCTATAAAAATTAACTTATTTAATATGTTCTTTGATACTTTCAGTGTTATCGAAACAAAAATTGAAACATTTGTGTCAATAAATTCGCTTAATTCTCCCACGACGGGGCATGAAACTAAACGGAAATTCAGTACTATCATCGAGACCAGTGTCGACAACAGAATATATTGCTTTAGATTGTGAAAACTAGTGTAATTTACCATAGGATATGATAAACTATTGACAGCAACATTAGAATAACTTCGGTTTCCGGCATAACTGATCCGTATTTCCCGAACCAGATGACATTAAGCAATGGTTTCTATCACAGTTTCATAAATCATAATGCATGTCAGAAATAACAATTTAAACAACAATATAACGTTAACGTCAACCGCATGGCTAGATGTTCAAGGAAAATATCCAACATAATGAAAGACTAGTAAAACTATCCTTAATGATATTATGACATCTCATTAATAAAGACGTCGACAATTCATATTACGCGATATTAAGGAAACGGTTAAACTCTCCATTATTCAAATATATATAGTAGCGTAATTATGGGATCAAATTACATTATTCAAGAAATTATCCCAACAAAAATTATTTTGCCCAGGTTTTAACCCTGCCTTCACCGGATATCCCGAAAATATGTGGGTCCCAATTCATAAATAGAAAAAAAGATTTGATTGTGGAGACAATTTTGTTTTGTCTCTACTAGAAATACCAGAACCCCTCATAAAAATGTTATGAACAAAAATACTGCATAACGTTGTTTTGGTTTTTGGTTTTGGTTTTCTCAGATTGAATTCAGTGCCATCGAGCCCCGTGATCCAGGGTACATGTTTATCGTAGCTTAATGAATTGCAGTACCAACGAGGGTAAAGTCTGGACATACGTCAAGACCATTAAGCGGAAGTGTTTTCTGCAGACAAAGCAATCAGCAGTATCTCAGTGGGTTCATGGTTTAGCAAAGTCTTGAATGCCATTTTTGGCTAATACTCAACAGAAACAACATAACAACACAATCAACAACATTCGTGAGTGTTTTCCAGGTGTCAACATATATACACGTCATGAGCTGCTCTCTGAATATACAAATCCATATCATCTGGTCACCTGGCCGTACATAGAATATGCAGGGGGGGTTAATGGTAAGCTACATACATGCTATATAGGCAATAAACGTCTTGTCACCTGGCCGTTCATAGAATATGCAGGGGGTGGGTGTTTAATGGTAAGCTACATACATGTTATATAGGCAATATACGTAATGTCACCTGGCCGTACATAGAATATGTAGGGGGTGTTAATGGTAAGCTACATACATGTTATATAGGCAATATACGTCTTGTCACCTGGCCGTACATAGAATATGCAGGGGAGTGGGGTGGTGGAGTGTTAATGGTAAGCTACATACATGCTATATAGGCAATATACGTCTTGTCACCTGGCCGTACATTTAGGCTGACGACGATGTTGTGGCAAGAAACAAATCCAGTGCCGTGTATGCAGCAAGACAACACGATGTTACTGATGCTATATACGTAACATCTTGTAAGCGGAAACAAGACATTGATATTAATTGTGCTATCTATGTAAATAAATGTGGTTAGCAAGCCGTACTTAAAAAAACATGATTTCGTTGTAATTTATGCGATGTGGGTACATAATTTATTTACTTGGCCGCACGCTGCCACCTGTGTTCCTTAATTAGAGCAATTTACAACATATTGGCCGCACGCCCATGCAGAATGTAAGCCATGCTACCTATTCTATGCGGACAGTTTACAACTGGTAACAATAACGTAAGCTATGTTACCAAGGTTATGTGGACAATATTCAACAGGTAACAACAACGAAGCTATGTTACCAATGTTTATGGACAATATACGACTGGTACCAACAATGTATATGTTACCTAGGCTACATGGACGATGTACAGCTGGTTACGTCAATGTTAGCTGTGTTACTATATAGCTGTCCTTTCAGCCTATAAGGTTCATCAGAAGGAGAAAAAACACAAGCTATACGATACGGGTTACAAAGAAACAAGCTTTAAACATCTATATGCAACATATACTACTAAACTACAACCTATGATGTTGAATGAAACAGTATGTAAGTTTCTTAACAATGGAAATTGCTATTGGCTGCAATGACTGACCAAATGACGAGAAGCTGAATATGAATTTCACCTACAAAACGTTTTGATTTTTCCTCTTGGCAAATTTGTCTTCGTCTGTGAAATATAGAGAAGTTGTAATACAAATTTTGTATTCTTGCTACTTCGTTGAGATTCAGCAATGATTTTGATATTGTCCAAATTCATTTTGCCCGAATGAATAAGTAATATCAGGTTGTACTTCTTGAAACGAAATCACTTAGAGTGAAACATAACGTTGAGAGGATTTATTGGAGTGGTACCAATGTAATGACTCGGTATTTAGTGTTTCTGGGACTGAATTGATCTCAATTATCCCTTTTCACTACATTCGCTGGCAGGTAGAATTCTTCTTACATTTGAAATGCAGTACTTATGGATGTGATTTTATACCCCCTTGACCATCTTCTGACCTGACCTGCAAAAGCCGAACTACCCCACTGACTCAAACCGTTTTGATTTTCCACGCAATACTAGACGTGGTATCACAACTTGGTAACCTGCATGTAAGGAACATCATCAGATAACGCATCATCATAAACAAGATAAGAGTCCAACTCAGCAAACAACTCCGCGTCCAGTTCTGAATCTAAGTTGTCATCTGTGCTGGTGGTGGAGTCGGAGCCGTCGAGGTCGTCGTCTGTCATGGACGCTGTCTCGTTCATGTCCAGTGAAGAGGAGCTGTCACTGCTTGCGCTGGAGCGAGATCGCAGAGAAAACAGCTCGTTGAGCACAACTGGGTCCAGATCTGCGAAAGGATCAACGTATTCCACGTCACTTGATGCGATGCTGCCACTGCCTACGGAGCCTTCTGTGACGTCGTTCTGCGGTTCTACATCTACCTGGAAGTTGAACTTGTCTTCCACGGTCTCCTGGTCGGAGCTGAGACCCGAGTCTGGGGGCGTGGTCTCCCGTGGTGATGTTTCCGTGATCATACTGAGAGGTCTCTGGGCTTCACTGAAGGTGTGGCTCCGACGGATGATCCCTGCTGGTTTGGTGATGGTAGGCGCAGAGGAACGCCTGACGCTCAGACTGGACAATATAGAGACAATACAAACAATGGTATCATACATATAGAATATAAACTCATATTACCACATGTTCTCTAATAAACGTATACTGTCCCGTTCCATAAACCAAGCTAACGCTATCACTATCACCACTACGATCACAATAGTGTTGTACAAAGGCCCCACCTGCGCGTAATATTTAGACAATACGGTATTGCATAGGCTACTAATACACATTAAATAGAGTTCATTTTCTTGAAACTGCATCTGAAACTACTGTCACTGACAAAAAGACAGACAGACAGACAACGTGTATTCTGTAAAGAGGCCATGGGCCCATAATACATGATAAATTGCAAACATATTATCCATTGACATATGTTCAACTTGACATATAATTGAATTCATTTTCTTGATACAATATTTTTTCTTATATAGAGATCGAACAGATGTAATTAGAGCAGGAATTTAAGCACTTTGAGACCCAGCGCTTATTACAGACTACCGTATAGTGCTGTATGTTGTTTCGAATCCATCGTCTATTGGTGGCTGTTATAGGTAGTGTGTTTAATAGAGGAAGCGCAGTATCGTTGCTTGGGAAGTTCCAAGACGAAACTGTATATACCTCTTACTTGATCATCTCAATTTGGACTTACAGTCAAGGACTGTTGTATCGAACCTACAGCTGTCTGGAAGTAAAAGCTTGGTCCCTGAGCTTTCTTCTTTCTGAAGTTCTGTGGAACCTCGGATAACTCGAAGTATTTACGTTGGGCCCTTCAACTTCGACACCATGGTGTTTGTAGTTCATAAGCTAATGAATAAAACCATTTGACACCGCAGTACATTTAAATGGGAGATGTGGATGAAGCGTTCATTCGTCATACCGAAGAACGGTTTCGAATCCGGGAACTGGAACCTGTATTTCTGGTGTCCCTCTATTCTTGAAATAGCAGATCCACCCTTGTTATGACTCTTGGTTTGTGGACAACACCACAACCCGTGCTCTATTGAGTCTCTAACGTGGTTAACGCCGTAGATCTGCATGCTGTTCTTCATACATTATGCTGAGACACCGTGCTGTATCTGAAATACTTAGCGGCGTAAAACACAACTCACTCACTCACTACCCACCTAGTCCTCCTCCGGAGCATCGAATCCTCTTCCATCCTCAGCATAGAGTGACGTCTAGCCAGGGCTAGAGACGCTCTTCTCACTATTGACTTCCGTCGCGCTATCGACATTCGTTTCAAGGCTCTGTAAAACGATACAATACATAAAAGCACATTGTTCTGTATGACAAAGATGAACCACATGATAGTTTGAATAATCTAATAGCATCAAAATATGTGAGACAGTCAGCGTCTAATATATTTTCTAGTACAGTTGTCACTCAACATGAATGGTTACGTGAAAAGTACATTCTTGATATCACTCTTGAGTTCTGTACACTGAACAATTGCAAAATGCTTAATCACTATTAACTACACTGAGGGATATCAGTTCATTTTTATATATAGGGAGGTGAGCGAGGGTATTTAAATTATTTGCTATAGATTGCAAAGGCAAATATTTCAAATATGTTCTCGGGCTTATAACCGATTGCTACATAACTACAAAGTATGAATATGCGAGTATGTAATAAACGTCGGTATAATACAAGTTATGGCCGAGCAACTAGTCTCCAGGGCCTATATTTTCGAAGCTCTCTTAGCGCTAAGATAGTCGTAAGTGCCATACCTTAACATTAACTGACGACTATCTCAGCGCTAAGAAAGCTTCGAAAATCTTGGCCCAGGGACCTAACAGGAGAGTGTGATCAGTTTCGCTGGCGTTGTTGATGCATGATGTAGCATTCCAGTTGCGTAGATCGATGCTTATGGTGTCAGTCAGTGGATTGCCTGGTCCATATAGGGATATATACAGATCCCCGCCCTAGAATATGTTGAGCATGGCATTAAACAACAAACAAGCAACCAATGGTGAAAGTTGGTTCTCCTATCTACCAGTGTGATTCAAAGTGTACGCTTGCTGTACTCACCGCCGAGGAGCGATCCGTAAGAATAGTTGAAGGTATATCTGGAACTTGTCTGGAAGCAAATATTGTCAGTAGTATATCACAAAAAAACATGATTTGACATGGTTTCCCTGCACGTGACCGTTCTGCATAGGCTGCATGGGCCGACAGGTGGCCTAGGCGTCTCCCACTTATCTTGTGGGTTCGAATCCAAGAATCATGATGGTTATGTTGGCACCAAAGGTTCTGCATCATCTTCAACCATCTCCAGCTTTTGGTGTCTATGTTTTACAACATATTTGGTACAATTGATCATGCTCTATCTACGAACGGACGTCACATGGGGTTGTTTGCGATCTGGGCTCAGGGTCGTTTATGGTGATTTATGAACACATGCTTATTATGTAGTCGGAATCTTACAACTCCTTTTAGCAGAGATTTCTTCTGATTATGTAAAGGGTTTTCCCACCGCCCTTATAGTAATGGGTTGTTTTTGTAAATTCTTAACAAAATCTCACTTCCTTATTCTGCATGTCTTTGAAATAAGTACTCTTATATACATCTACCTCAGCCTTTAGTACTAAGAATGGCTACTTATTAATGATAGTCATTCATACTTGTATTTATATACCAAATACATACATGTGTTGACGGAGCTCACCTGAGAATTGACCGTTAATTTTGAGGAACTTCTTGGGTATGTAGAGAAGCAGCGAGAAGACAACGAGAGCCAGAGACAAAATGAACTCTGTCTTGGGTGCCTCCAGGAAGGGTGCGATGGAGAAACAGGCAATGATGGCGACAACGACGATGGGGATGGCGATGTTTACCTACAAGGTTGATGATGCAGCAGTGAGTATATTGTACCCGATATAAATAGCGTTTCAGTTCCATCACGGAGTGGCGGCTTGACGTGGCAGAAAATCCCGAAATAAGTCAGATGTAAACGTCATATGTATACCCACGATCAAGGGCAAAGTGCTAACAACAACAATCGTTATCAGTATATGGGGCTTGAATCTACCATCACAGGATTCTGGTACACCAAGGGACGCAACCTTGCAAAGCCAATTGCTGCGCCTGGATGGTTGTGACATCCTACTTTTCAAAGTGAATGTCGTTTTACGCCAGCCCAGCCTTATTACATCGCCGTAGTAGTAGTAGTAGTAGTAGTAGTAGTAGTAGTAGTAGTAGTAGTAAACAAGGGGCATGGTAGACAAGAGACTTACGAGGATGATAATACTCAACTATCACCATTGTTTATCAATATACACTAATTTACATGGTTATTTTTAAACTCACTGTATTTAGATTGTGAAAACATGAAACTTCTATAAGTTCATTTGATGTATTTTTGCGGTCATAACATAAGAAAGGTGACAACCGTAACACATGTATGCTGTAGCTAACCTTATACGGTCTTGCTTTCTCTTTGTTCTTTACCCTGAGGACCAGGAGAGCCAGGATTGCCAGACCGTGGAACAACCAGACCGTGAAGACGAAGAACCGGACCAGGACGTCCAGGCTACCAAACAGCAGCATCACGATGGCGATCAACGCCTGCAACAGTACGTCATCGCCGTCTAACTCAGGTAATGCTTCTCTTGTTCGAAGGTCTGAGGTAAAGCTTTCAAAAGGTTTCAAGGTACAATATTACAGTATTGATGTCTGCTACCATTCCTTATTTGGTCAGGGGTCATATGTTCCGTATATGAACACTTGGCTTGCCCTTGTAAGTGTTTGTATCTAATCTGTTTACAAACACTTGGTACCTTCAGTTTGATAGAGTCTACAAATTCCAGTATGAACGCTTCACTCTGTGATGTATATATACTGACCAGCAAAAGAAACGCAACTCAAGAAATCAAAACAATTGTGATAAAGTATCAAATCCAAACTCATGCTGAAAAAGTATAATTTTCATGAATTCTGAGTTGCGTTTTTATTGCTGGTCAGTATAAAACAGTGTACAGATTTACCAGTGACATGTACAATCTTCGGTCACCTTACACACATATCGTGAAAAGAACACGTATTTAATGAAATACCTTTTCATGTCAGCATGTATCAAAAACATTTGTCCTTAGTCACAGACACACGTGTTTATTCAGGCTTTGTGGCACTGGGGACCAGAATACAGTTGAATGAAGTAAGCTGTAGTAACGTGACTGACAGAGTACCTGCTACACCACTTTTAGGAGTCTTATAGTAACGTGTTGGATAAATATAACTACTGATTTGGTAGTACTTCCATCATTTGTGTTGAGATAATTGGCGACATATTATAGGCATGGTGGATAAACAGGATATAAAATTCGTCCTGAGTACACCCAGATTAACATTCTGCAAAAACAATATATATGGGGAATATCTTTGTTTCTCAAAAATCCTTTTACGTTTTAACACTTTAAACTTTCTAGTCTCTGACAGAAGGGATTTGTCGGTATATCGTCACATGTTCAATACTTCTCAGTTTCCAACACAGACTTTATGGACTGTGAAAGATAAAGGGATCTCATAATTTCTGATCAACCTTGAATTAAACGCGTTGTTTAATTAAGAAAATAAACCGTTCTGGCACTAGATGCTCATGTATGTATGCCGATATTATCCTGAATATACTGCAGTCGTGGCGATGTAAAAAACAGCACATGACTAATCCTTTGTCCCACCCTAACCCCCACCCACCCCCTCTCCCACTTACCCTGCTGATGAGAGTGATTATGTTGGTCTTGCTGCGCACATGCACCCACGATGAGAACTCCGGCATGTTGCCGTCCTTTAGAGCGACTCCTGACAGTCTGTGTGGAATAACATGGCAGAGTAAGTGTCGAGCTAGGTAAACACATGTACAGTTGTCTGGAACTCTAATATAATTCTGAGAATGAAGAGGTTGAGGTTAACAAACCATACCTTTTGACTTTCAAGTGTGTGATATAAATATTTTATTTAGAATATGTTTGGTATTATGGACTGTAATACCTATATTGCCTGACATACTCGATTACAGGTTTGTTTGGCAGTGTTATGAGGAAAGAGAGTTATCTCCCTTCTCGAACGCTCTGGCTTTGTCTTTCTGGCCGCGCCAAGTTTCGAGTTTGTTTTCCTCGTGTGCTAATAAAGCCTCTAATAAGGACTTCTCCCGTGACCTGTCGAGTCGCAAGCCGTAAAGATAATTAGGTCTGAGACTGTTGAACCAAACAATTTGTCTATACAATTTTAATGTAACAAAGTACTGATGTACTACTAGAATGTGATTTACATAAATGGTATTTTTGTATGGTGTATTTATTATAATATAAATCAGTTACCCCAATGTACTTCAAAAACTGTCGAACATAAACATGGCGAATCTTGGATTCAAAGCCACGACCACAGAATCCTGGTATGTAGGGATCAAAGCCATACAGGTGGTAGCTGTAGTGGCTGAGTGGGTTAGACGGCTGACTTTGTGTCCTGGCGATTAGGTTCCTGACTGAGAGTGTGGGTTTGAATCCCGGACTCAACCCATCAAGAGTACTAGAATCTGTACTTAGTAAAAAAATGTAATCCCAAATATAACGTGTTAAATAAGACCCTAGTTCGACTCCCCACATGGGCCAATTTTGGCGTCCCCCGCCTTGATGTTGTCGAAATATTTCTAAAAGCGGCGTAAAACCATATTCACTCACTCAATGCCCTCGTCAAAACACGTGTTGCATTAGCATCACTCTGACATCTTCTGTGGTCCACAATAGATAATATTTACGGTATGAGACGACACACAGTAAAATCAGTAAGTTTAGAATGCGTGCAATAGATCGGTAAAATCTTTTAAAAATAAACCGAATTGAACAATCTCTAGAGAGATCTGCCTTGGGTGTGATGAATCAAAATGGGCTCTTCAAAAGTTATCTAGTGTCAGAGCTGTCAAAGTCGATCCATAATCAGAAATATGACTAGCCTGTCTGGAGAATGACAGATAATTGGAGTCGTACATTATCCCCCAAGGACACCAGTTGCTCTAGAGTGCCAACGACATAATGTGATAAAATAAAGGTGTGTATTTTATCAGTTTTGATAAATTCTTCTAAAGAATTAGCTTGAAGGCCGCCGCCCCCTATCTTCTTTGTTTGATGAGCTCTACTCGTGGGCCACTAGGGGATAATAGAATGAAACGCACCTTAGGCAAATATTCCAAATACCACCCTCTACTAAACAATATCTTGGTGAGGTCACACTCCTGACCCACATGTCAAATTACAACTTGAGTAGTTTTATCTTGTCTTCATTCATCCTGACCGCTAACAGTAAAGCCTTAGACAAACAGCAGGCTTGAATATCGCCAGGTTCCATTATAAGATTAATGTAATCAAAAGTCACCAAAACTAGAGCCTCTTGCAATTCCTGTTTTAATCTACAATAAGGCGAAAGTGTATAACCCAGTAACAGTTGGGAATACTGGTCCAAGTGGTCTCCGAACCTGTGATTGTCCTCCTGTGGGGATTACGGGTAGATTTGGTCCCCTCATGTATGATTGTCTCCCTGTGGGGATTACGGGTAGATTTGGTCCCCTCATGTATGATTGTCTCCCTGTGTGGGATTACGGGTAGATTTGGTCCCCTCATGTATGATTGTCTCCCTGTGTGGATTACGGGTAGATTTGGTCCCCTAATGTATGATTGTCTCCCTGTGTGGATTACGGGTAGATTTGGTCCCCCATGTATGATTGTCTCCCTGTATGGATTACGGGTAGATTAGATTTGGTTCCCTAATGTATGATTGTCTCCCTGTGTGGATTACGGGTAGATTTGGTCCCCCATGTATGATTGTCTCCCTGTTGGGATTACGGGTAGATTTGGTCCCCTCATGTATAATTGTCTCCCCTGTGAAGATTACGGGTAGATTTGGTCCCTCATGTATGATTGTCTCCCTGTGTGGATTACGGGAAGATTTGGTCCCTCATGTATGATTGTCTCCCCTGTGTGGATTACGGGTAGATTTGGTCCCCCTCATGTATGATTGTCTACCTGTAGGGATTACGGGTAGATTTGGTCCCCTCATGTATGATTGTCTCCCTGTGTGGATTACGGGTAGATTTGGTCCCCTCATGTATGATTGTCTCCCTGTATGGATTACGGGTAGATTTGGTCCCCCCATGTATGATTGTCTCCCTGTGTGGATTACGGGTAGATTTGGTCCCCTCATGTATGATTGTCTCCCTGTATGGATTACGGGTAGATTTGGTCCCCTCATGTATGATTGTCTCCCTGTATGGATTACGGGTAGATTTGGTCCCCTCATGTATGATTGTCTCCCTGTGTGGATTACGGGTAGATTTGGTCCCCTCATGTATGATTGTTTCCCTGTGTGGATTACGGGTAGATTTGGTCCCCTCATGAATTATTGTCTCCCTGTGGCTATTATTGGTAGCATTGCTCCCCTCACCTGTACAAGTAAAATAACTTTCATCAGAAATATCGTATTTACTTGGACATAATACGCACTGCTGTCTGTTTTAATAATAATAACAATGATAATAACAATGAGGGTACTTATACCGCCAATACTCCACACCACAAAGGGGCAAAGCTCGCACAAACAGCACAACATTATTACCCCGGATAACCCAAGCTGCCTGTTAGGCGCTAGAGGGTAATAGTCACATGACTTATCCCACCGAGTACCCATATTACTGCTGGGTGAACAGAGGCAATTTTGAACAAACTCACTTGCCTAAGGTGAGACCACATATATCACATGTGTTTCGTTGTGGGACAGAACACTAGAAACTCAGAAACTAGAGTCCTAGAAACTCAGGGGTCAAGCTGTCACCCATCCAAGGACTCTCCGCGCTCAAGTTGCTTAACTTCAACTGATTTGTGACCTGAGCTCCATGCACAGGACCACACACCACCACCCAGCTAATCAAATATTTCTGTGTAGAGAGGGGTGGGTGGGGTGGTGGGCGTGGGGTGTTATGCATAATATACACAGGGGTGGGGGTGGGGGGTATGCATAATATACACAGGGAGGGTCGGGTAGGGTTGGGTGTTATGCATAATATAAACCGCAATGAGTTTGGATATTATTCCAAAACTCACAGACATTACCTTTAACACGTCAATATATCATGTCAATATATCATGTCAATATATCCGTATTGATGAACGAATCGGAAGTTTACTCCTATTGTTACACTACGTGGTCTGTATATAGATTGCTTGGCAACTATTTTATTCATTTTGTTCAATATTTCTTTTCATAGCATGTAGATCTCAAACAGAATTTTAGTCATAAATCCGATACTGTAACTCGTGACAAGTCCTATATGTTGTGGTCCCACTATTATATGTCAACATAATGTTTCAGTGATCGCCATAGGAAAGAAATCACAACGGTAACTGGTTAACTTGTTCCATGAGTAAACATATCCCGCAATAGCAATCACCTGTACGAAAGGGTTTAGTATTGATTCTAAAAGCTACAATAAAATAACACAGCATTGGAATATATTATGTCTGAGAAAATATTAGTACCGGATTCATACTTCCGATCATAGCATAAACATAAGTTTCCTGTTAGATATTTTTCACCGAAAGATTGGGCAGAATGTGTACGTACAGCCCATTTGTACTTCATTTCTGCTTATTAAACAATACCTAAAAGCACAGGAAATAAAACTCAAATGGTAAATATGAACAATGACATATTATTCATATCTCACATTTTATATTTTTACAGCTCAAGTGTTTTAATCACCTGTTCGTTTACCTCAAATTGCAGAAAGGATACCATGCAACCTTTTACACTGTGTATGATGTTGACTGACAGCGGCATGCATGCATGTTGTGTGTTGACTAGTGAAAAACAGGTTTCGCTCGTTATTCAATATCTTTAGAGGAACAAAGTCCTTATCATAACCCGCCCGTTGATACACGGAGTATTGTGTTTCTCCCAACCTTCCAACCCTTGAAGATCCAGGTTAGAATTGGTCTTCAGAAACCCATGCTTGTAAGAGGCGACTAACGGGATCGGGTGGTCAGCCTTGGTTGACACATGTCATTGTAACCCAGATGAGTAGATCGATGCTCATGCTGTTGATCACTGGATTGTCTGGTTCAGACTTCATTATTTACAGACCGGTGCAACACAGCTGGAGTACAGCTGAGTGTGGCGTAAAACAAAACAAAACAAACCCAAATCTCCCTACCTCCCAGCTGTTAGGAATGTCCCGTTAGCACTGCCCAGCGCCGTCAGACCAACCCCCAGGGGTATAACTGCAGAAGCCTTGCCCAGCATCCTCTCACCCCATGTCTGGAATCAAGTTTGGAAAACCATCATCAATATCAGAGACTATACCATCAGGTACAAAAACGTATTTTTTCCGCGTTCTGTTTCAAAGACGTTGCCGTTTTAACTTTCAAGTTGTTTTTTTCTGACGTTTTCTTTCAATGCTATTGGTTTAGTTTCGTGTAATTATTATTTAACCCACTTGACCCCTGGGTTCGTGTTAGTGTTGTTAGTTAAGCACAATCTTCAAGCGTTCCATCCACGTTCTGGCACCACCGCTTCACTTCGGAACCTCTCGACACTTTCCGGGAACCTGCCGTAATTTCTCGGATTAACCCGAAAGTACCTGAATGCTATCTGGCACACTTACCACGCCTATGGCCTCGGAAGCGAGCATCTCGCGTTTCGTCATTACCGTGAAGTATGACGTCACCACGAGCATGTAGATTACCATTACCAGTGGTATGACGCATTTCACAAGTCGTGGTAAATTTCTGAAGAAAAACATTCGGCATTAATCTAAAGCTATGTTTCTATCGTCCTCTGAAGGCTGTTCGTGGTTAGAAGAAGCGCAGGTTAGTGGGCGGCGACCTAACGGTTGCAGAGTTACCTACCTTGGGGGTTTCTTCACACCTCTAGTCACGTGGTTTACGTTGGACCTGAAAGCATAAGACAGAAACAAAGAAGCTATTAACTAATTATACCGTGTCATACCTGAGAAGAATATAGGACAAATCTGATCAAATATGGCATTTTAGGAGAGAGAAAATAGTGTGTAGTATGTTTTAGTTTTAGAAAATCAAGAATGGCATGCATGTACTTAAAGGACAAAGTGTGGTATCAATGGTAAGTCCATGTTTTACTAGATGATTAGAATATTAGTTTGGTCACATTTTGGTCATGTTCGAATAACTGAAAAATCCATGTAACATGTTATATTTGGGATTACACTTTCTGAGTAAAGTACAGATTCTAGTACTTTTGTTGGGTTGAGTCCCATCCGGGATTCGAACCCACACCCTAGGAGTCAGGAACCTAATCACCAGCACACAATGTCAGCCACCTAACCCGCTCAGCCAACGCGCCTTCCACATAATATGTTACAATTGACCACTTTCTAAATGGTATTGTGTATTCATAGAAAAATTCACAGTGAAAAGATTGAAAACAATGTTATCTTTCTTTAGATATTTCGCACATTTGGTTCGTAAGAGACAACTAACAGGTTTATGTGATCGGGCTCGCTCCAAAGTGGACCCCTGAAGATCCAGGTTAAAATTGGTTTTCAGCAACCCATGCTTGTCGTAAGTGGCGACTAACGGGAGGATCAGGTGGTCAGGCTCGCTGACTTGGTTGACACATGTCATCATATCCTAATTGTGTAGATCAATGCTCATGATGTCATTCACTGGATTATCTGGTCCAGACTCAAGTAATTACAGGCAGGTGTCATGCAGCTGGAAGATGGTGTATGAGTGACGGTAAGCAACAAACAAACACAATGTGGAAAGTCCCAAACATTCTCTCACACACGATCAATCATAACGGGATATCTTACGATTTTGTTCATTGTTTGAAGCGTTGGCTCGTCAATCGAATCCCCACATGGGTGCAATGTGTGAAGCCAATTTCTGGTGTCCCCCGCCGTGATGTTGCTGGAATATTGCTAAAAGCGGCGTAAAACCAAACTCAGTCAGTCAGTCAGTTCATTGTTTGAACAAAGCGGATCCGGTGTGCCCCAGACAGCACTTTTCATACAGTGCCGTTTGTGAGACAGATGATTAGAAAAAACACATACCAGCCACCGTAGGCCCAGAGACCATTGAATATGGCGAAGGTTATTGATGTCGGGTTGTCCGTGGTGCCCTCAAAACCCTCCTGCAGGATCGTGTAATGACCTTCAATGAAACATTAATCTTTCATAATTGTTATGCTTCTTAAAATACAAGTGTTTCCAAGTGGGAGTTAAGTGCTACTGGATAGTCACGCTAGAGCTCACCAGTTGCTCAGGGCTGTTACATCTATACACCGCGCAGAGAGTGACTGGTTCTTCTCCCAGTAAGCGCTGCTTAGTCCAACCCACCAAGAACTCCCCGAAGAACGTTGAACCTCTCTAACACTGTAACCTTTGGTAGTACCTATTGTCAGGAGGACTTGGTTAATCAGCTTAGCAGTCAGGATTCAAACGTGATACTTCGTAAGCGAGGTCTGCGTATTAACCAAGGTTTCTTTCTCAGTCTTGCAAATCACATTAGTGTACAAATGGACTGAGAATTCGGTGATACAAATGACTTCATTGGAATTGTAACAAAGGACAAAGTTTGTTAGTCTGGATACATCCGAGGCTGATGCAGGTCTTTCTGGAGCATATAGCCAAATAAACGCGTGCAAACGTGCATTATCCTATGATGAGGAGCCTCCACGTTATTCCAAACACACACACCCATTATTATTGGTAAACATATCTAACTATAATCTGGCACGATTCTTCATGAGAGTGTCATGTGGCGTCTAACCAACAACACCAAAACAACATTGAAGGATGCGTACAGTATATGGACGTGTGTCTTTGACGTTGTTGCGTACTTTCCACTCTAAACTGCAGATCTACCTCGGCTTAACCTTCCACGAGATGGTGGATAACGCCACCCGCCCCTTCCTCTACCCCACGACCGCCTCCGTGGTGTAGTGGTTAGAGCGTTCGCCCGGAGAGCGGAAGGTCGCGGGTTCGATCCCCGACTGCGTATTACCAAAAGACGTTAAAATATGGTACTTGTTGGTCCCTGTCTGGCGCTCGGCATTAATGGGTACAACAAGGACTGGTCGGCTCGGAGTCAGTATAATGTGTCTGAGTGGGGTATTCATGCTTCACTGCGGCATGGTATCTCAGTGGGCTAGCACTATTAAACCAGCTTCAATCTGGGCTAGTACAAGCAGCCGCACATACACATACACACGCATGCACGTCGTCATATGAGCGAAATATTCTCAAGCACGACGTTAAACCCAATTTCACCTCACCTCACCTCCTCAACCCCACCTCCTTCCTCCACCCTTTAATTGTTGTTTAACTTCAGTGAATTGGTGCCAAACAAAAGAGCAGAGAACTGAAAGAGTCCCCCTGACATGGGTCAGCACCTCCCTATCTGAGTTGATGCAATGTGTAGCGGCTGTGTTGTTACCTTGGAAGAGTCTGATGATGCCGTAGATGATGACTACAGACAACGCCGTCACTTTCCCAACGGTCGCCAGAACCTGTACCTGAGATGCCAGCTTGTTGCTGAACCCGTTCAGCAGGGCCAGGGAAACTGTGAGAAATGAAAGGGAAAACAATGCAGTACGTCCCAGTGTATGATTACCATGTTAGATCCCAGAAGCAAAAGTCTTTGGCAGACTGTAGATTATCGTGGATCAATTTTACATTTTAGAGAAAGGTTTACAGATCAATGTTGTTCATTTTCATGTATTGTAGCCACCATCAGACACAAAATGTTAGATACAATACCTACTTCAACTAGTAACTCATGTTCCATTGTTTCTTTCAGGTGAGCAACTGGCATGCTTGAGCATGTGTTTATGACCAGTACCCCGGCTGAACGGTATACCAATTTTTCGAACAACTGAGGTTGTCACGTTTTGATTGTGATTCAAAACTGCCGATACAACAATCATAACCCACATTTCTTATGGTATAGGGTGTGGGGTGTGTGTGTTAGCCTATGGTTAAAACATTGGCTCGTCACGCTGAAGACCCGGGTTCGATTTCCCACGTGGGTACAATGTGTGAAGCCCATTTCTGGTGTCCCCCGCCGTGATATTGCTGGAATATTGCTAAAAGCGGCGTAAAACCATACTCACTCACTCTTATGGTATTGGAAATGATTTCTGTCGATTTATTTCCTTTGTTTGCAGAATGCATTAATGTTGAAATTTATGAAAGTACATGTCATGCAAATCTAGTTATATCACCACATAGCACAAACAACACCTGTGTCTAGGAACCTGAAAACTTCAACACAGGAACACCGCCTCCTGGAAGTCCATGATGATGTTCTGATGATCATGCTTCTTACAACTAAGGTCATGTCATATGCTTCTTACAACTACGTGGTTTAACAAGGCATCGTGTTGTAAGCTATTGTGGTCTGTGAAGCGTCCTTGACAACCGCCTCCTGGAAGACTCCATGCTGATGTTAACACACTTATCTGATGATCATGCTTCTTACAACTACGTGGTTTAACAAGGCATCGTGTTGTAAGCTATTGTGGTCTGTGAAGCGTCCTTGACAACCGCCTCCTGGAAGACTCCACTTATCTGATGATGTTAACACACTTATCTGATGATCATGCTTCTTACAACTACGTGGTTTAACAAGGCATCGTGTTGTAAGCTATTGTGGTCTGTGAAGCGTCCTTGACAACCGCCTCCTGGAAGACTCCATGATGATGTTAACACACTTATCTGATGATCATGCTTCTTACAACTACGGGGTCTAACAAGGCATCGTATTGCAATCCACTGTGTCCTTTTCGACACGTTTTGTGTGCCATTGTCCGTACGTGTATTCACCTGGATGGAACCAAGTGGCACTGAAAGAAGTTGCATGCCACTGTGTGATACTGCAGGCAGTTGTATATATGTAGCTGCATGTTACTAGATGCCATTGGTAGTAAATGTCATGAACGTGTTTGAATGACACTGGAAGTATTTGTACAACTATAAACAAGTAGATATATGGATTCAAAAGTAGTTGCTACACACTAGATATAGAAACACCAATGCAGCTTGACTGCATGATACATGGGCCACGAGACATTCTTGTGGCATCGATGTTAGTTGTATAAACTGGAGGTGCTAAAGTGACAATAGAAGCGGTTACTGGAGAAGCAACTGTGTTACACTAGAAGTATTTGTATGACACTACAAGTAATTTGTATGGCACTTGCTGTAGTGCACCTTAAGTAATTGCTTGAGACGTTTTGTATGGAAGTAGAAGCAAATTAATTTCAGTTGTGTGATACTGAAAGTAACTTTGTGTCACTATGAGTGAGTCAGTTTAGTTTTACGCCGTTTTTAGCAATATTCCAGCAATATTACGGCGGGGGACACCAGGTATCACACAATGTACCGATGTGGGAAATCGAACCCTGGTCTTCGTCGTGACGAGCGAACGCTTAACCACAATGCTACCCCACTGTGCCCTGTCACTATGAAGTAATTAAAAGCAGTTGTACGGCTGACACTATCAGAAGCTGTATGACACTAGAAGTAGTTATACACAAGTGGAAGTTGCGTGAAACATTTGTACAACACAATAATGTGAAACAGAGAGTGGCAGAACCAGATTCTTGACACATCCTTGGCGTCATCACTACACGCACGTGACACCGTGCACGTATTTGACATATCCGTACCTGGAACGAAGTCGTTTAGTTATCTTTTAAACACATATTGTCATTAAGATAGGGTATAGCGAGACAACTCAAACAATGCAACGAAAAGCATTATCTGTATCCAATATTAACGCCACAGTCACGTGCCTCCTACAGTAGGTACGCATCTTTAAGCCAATCAATCACGATAACTAGGTCCCGCTGAAGGCCAGCCAGTGACATCAGTGACAAACTCGTCTGGGTATTCAAGGTAAAAAGATAGTAAAGTTATACATGGGGCTTTTTGTTGAGAGTGTGAGTAGTGTAAGAACTCTCGAGCAGGCAGGTTGGTGTATAGGGTCTGTGGTCGTCATGGCAAGGTCACAAAACAGACACATTCCTTCTGCGATGGTTTTCAAACTTGACAGGAATTATAATAGGTCAGTTTACACTAGGATATTGTGTAAACAACATTACTTGTAACGAATGCTATCTATATGCTTATCATGGTTACTTTCTGTCGTGTTTCAAAGTTGTTGCGATTTGTTTATCCGGACCATCCTACCATGGAAACCCATCTTTCCGAATGCAAGCTGGTCACTGACCGGCGTCAGGATGTATAGGCATGGTAGATGAACATGGATTATGTTCTGTGACTTGTAAACTGTGTGTTAGAGCGCTGATCGAGTTAAATTGGTGGACAAAAGAAAGTATACACCCATGTTTGTTGATGACTAAAATGAACTAAACAGAAAATGGTTCAATGATGTATTTGATAAGGGTATCATACGTAATACTGGACCTTATGTTTGGTGTGTTTCTACGACTATTTCCAGCCGAGTAATGCTTTGATAAACGTTTGTAAACAGTTCGTTAAGTCTAGTTTACAAGTGTATACTTTCTTTTGCCCGGGGGTGTATTTAGACCTCGTGTTACTTGAGGTCTGCTAACCTTCGGGCATCCCTCGGCATCTCCCTTCATCAATTACCTGAAGCTTTTCTCCCTGAAATAAGCTTAACATGTATGTCATACCTCAATGACATAAGCATGCAAATTAGATAACCGGAAGTGGGACATTTTTCGGTGTGATTCGAAAAATATTTATATTATTGAAATTAAACCAGAGATATAATAATTATTTACACGCAGTCGTTATTGTTACCTTTATCGATACAAAGTTTCAAATATCCTTCTTCAAATAACAATATAAAACATTCTCAGCCAATGATTTTGCCTAAAAGTAGTTAATTAACAGGTTAATTTTGGTTCACGCGGCAGTGGAAAACATGTATCACAACGCACGATATACATGTATAGGTAAGATTTTCGACAAGTTTCTGATGTAAATTTGATGCATATTGTTCTTAAAACGGAAAGAGTAATGTGAAAATGATTCATCACTCGTTTTGTTTTAATATGAGAAATATGTCCCACTAATCGCGTTAAAGTCTCGGCAAATACTGATTAACAAAGACACGGTTGATATCTCCCTTCTTAAAATAAAGAGTGATGAATCCTCTATTCAACATATATGTATCTTATATGTAGTGTATATATTATGGGCAAATGTGTGAAGCCCATTTCTGGTGTCCCCGCCGTGATGTTGCTGGAATATTGCTAAAAGCGGCGTAAAACCAAACTCATCAGTAGTGTATATATTATGTAGTTTATATGTAGTGTTTATATTGTGTACATTATATGTAGTGTTTATATTATGTTATTATATCCCAGATAGCATTAGTGTTGGCCCAACGTTAATGTTGCTAAACCATTGCCAACGTTGGGCCAACGTCTGAATGCTATGGGATGTAGTGTTTATATGATGTAGTTTATATGTAGTGTTTATATTGTGTACATTATATGTAGTGTTTATATTATGACTTTTTCCTGTCCGAAAATGTATGTCCCGGGGAAATTAGCTTCTTCTTTGCACAAGACTCCAATGTTTAAATTTCACTTAGCAGAAATCCTTGATGATTACAAAGCACGATAATATAGTCATCTTTCTAGAATTAAGCAACGTTTAGAATAAGCTCTCGATGGTTACCTCTGAGCGGTGAGCTCATGTGTCATAGATCTCACGGTATAATCACGCCGTGCGTACTCTTAGCCTCATGAGATACATTGCTAAAGTGTAGTGAGAAAGTGATCACCTGCTCTAAGACGATAAACTCGACGACCTGACTCACGCCCACGACTGTCTTCGCCCATTTCTCTGCTCCCCATCCTAGCTCCCTCCACACCCATCCACCACACCCTTCCTCCCACCCATAGCACTCTGGATACGCTCGTAAAAGGGGGATAATGCTGAATATTCTCAATATTCACAATCAAATTAAAAGTGTGACATCAGTGAGAACTTGATTTCAACAATGTTTGGGGTGTGACATTTTACGTGCATTTCTCACCGTTCCACGTGCATTGAGTATCTCCACACAAAAATCATGTTATGATCCAAGATGCAAAATGTTAATGAGTGAGTGAGTGAGTGAGTGAGTATAGTTTTACGCCGCACTCAGCAATATTCCAGCCATTTGGTGGCGGTCTGTAAATAATCGAGTCCGGGCCAGACAACCCAGTGATCAACAGCATGAGCATCGATCTGCGCAATTGGGAACCGATGACATGTGTCAACCAAATCAGCGAGCCTGACCACCCGATCCCGTTAGTCGCCTCTTACGACAAGCATGGGTTGCTGAAGGTTCATTCTAACCCGGACCTTCACGGGTTCTCCTCTTACGACAAGCATGGGTTGCTGAAGGTTCATTCTAACCCGGACCTTCACGGGTGCAATGAATCATGCAGAAAAATGACCTGTTTTCACAGAATTTTAGGTGTGTGAATTAGGTGTTGTTTAAGCAAGTTCCATATGTATATTAAACCATTCACTTTGATCTGAACTTACCAAGTGCAAGAATTGCCAAACATTTTCGGATTGTCTCAGGAGGGCCACAACCGTCGTATATAGCGTCAGCAGTGTAGTCGGCGAAGGCGGCACAGAAAACAGCCGTTCCGACTGGTTCTGCAGCTGCGATACGCATCCAACAGTAGACGAAGGCTGTGACTGGCCCAAACGCTTCCGAGATGTAGGCATACTCCACACCCTCTTTCCGGACAGACTCGCGAAGTTCCGTGAAACACAGAGCAGCTGGAATTGTAGCGGAAATTGCCGATACTCCACTTATAGTGAAACCCCTTTCGACAGGACCCTGATAACGCTGAATTACTTAATTCACACGTTTCGGAATTCTGGAGATTTGACCGTGGACGTTACAATCCGGACTGAAACGTTTTACTGCATCGAGGACATCAACAACATCCGAAATAGACATGTCAACAACATCGCAGCATCATTTTACTTTGTACAGAACTTTTAGAAAAATATTTACTCACTACATTTCAAAATGAATTAGAATGGAAACTTCTACGCAGACAGGATATATTTAAAACCTTGACCCAAAGAATAATCAGTTTCCGGTATCGGCAGAAACCGTTTCCGTTCCACGTGAAAGCCCAAATGTGCTTTATGCAGAAACGTTTACTTGTTTGGTCAGACTGAGGTTTTATGCATGAAACTTTGCTTGTAGGTCAGCGTGTTATACTGACCCATCGTGCTGAAGACGCCACAGGCCGCCCAGATGACCAGAGACATGGCGATTGACCCCGACCCCGCCACCACACCCTTGGGGGAGGTGAATATACCAGGACCTGAAATGTTAACGTCATGATCAACCTGGCGATCGTTGTCTGTACTTCGGCATTCATTTTATACATAACGTTTTCATTGTTTGTTTAATTGTTGTTTAACGCCGCACTCAGCAATATTCCAGCTATATGGCGGCGGTCTGTAAATAATCAAGCCTGGACCAGACAATCCAATGATAAACATCATGAGCGTCGTATCTACTGGGATACGATGGCACGTGTCAGCCAAGTCGGCGAGCCACCCAATCCTGTTAGTCGCCTCTTACGATAATCATGGTTTACTGACGACTAATTCTAACTTCAAGGGTTTATACATAATGTACGTTATATGGTAGAATGGTACATAGAAGGTAATAATTTATAGTTTAAATGAAAGTTACTAAAAATGCATATAACAGACTGCCATCCTCAGATCTAGACTTGCCTTGCCTCTTTAAAGGATAGAACTACTATACATCCATGGGCTTAGCATTCAGTACAGCCTTGGAGCAAGGCTAGTGGTCCACTTACCTAGACTTGCCTCTTTAAAGGATAGAACTACTATACATCCATGGGCTTAGCATTCAGTACAGCCTTGGAGCAAGGCTAGTGGTCCACTTATCTAGACTTGCCTCTCTTTAAAGGATAGCTTAGCATTCAGTATACAGCCTTGGAGCAAGGCTAGTGGTCCACTTACCTAGACTTGCCTCTTTAAAGGATAGAACTACTATACATCCATGGGCTTAGCATTCAGTACAGCCTTGGAGCAAGGCTAGTGGTCCACTTATCTAGACTTGCCTCTTTAAAGGATAGAACTACTATTCATCCATGGGCTTAGCATTCAGTACAGCCTTGGAGCAATCCAGATAAGCGGATATGATAAGGAGTTAAAGATAAACATTATAAAAAGTGTGCAAGTGCATGTATAACATACAGTATAACGTAAAAACACAATGACATGACATGACATGACATGACATAACGTAATATCTAAATAGATCAAAATATATACCACGATATTATTGTAATTCACCTACGATGTTTAAGTTTAAAACTCTACTAACATGTAATAAGATAAATATCTTGTTAAATGTTGCAATGTTTATAAGGGAAGCTATATTTCTCAGAAATTCCAAATAATTATAATAAATTTTTATAATTATTTTCAACATGGGCCGATGGCCTTAATACTGAATAAAGAAAATGAATTGCCATAATGTAATGTATTATATTTTGTGATAATTACTTCTCCCTTCGTAACTGTTTACAGTTTGATAAGGTTCAGTTTGTCAGTTACAAGTATTAGTGGGTTCAACAAGATCCGTCCATGGAGACGACGTCGCTAGGCGGGAGCCGTACTTCTACCTGCAGCCACCAGTGAGCATAGTCTTGCTTCCAGTGTGCAGGGAACGATGGGGGCATGTTACATGTACACCAAAACGTCTGTACTACACGAGGAGGCACGATTGAGCCACGCTGCTGCTGTCACGTGTTCTTGTAGTGTGTCCCCCGAAACCTGAAGATTTACTTTTTGTTTAAGGCCACACTCAGCAATAGGCCAGACTATCGGGTGACTGGTAGCATTCGCATCGTTCCACGCAACTGTGATAGTATCATACAGTGACATGCACATCAGTGAGCCCGACTTACACCTGAACTTACGACATGCCTAGGTTACTGGGAACGGTAGTCTTTCCCAGAATTTCCCAGGAAAAACTTTGTGTCGATAGTCAAATGATACGCTGAAGAAAATATAATAATTTTCAATTTACACATTAAAAGGTTTCACGTTGTATTTGAATATTTCAAGTTCGTTGAAGTACTGACAGTTTTGTTTTACCAGTTGTGAAATTCCGATACCGTTTTTTTAAATTAAAGGCTTATTTGGTAATGGTTTCGGACTGAAGTTTGGTATGGAAAGGGGAATAATTTATCAACGTGCAGGTCGAAGAAAATTATAATATATGTTTAATAAACGTTTCAGATATGCATATTTCACTATAGTTTCACATTTTCAGAAGTACTGACAAGAGATACGGCAACCCTTGCCTGCCTATCATGAACCTATGTCACGTTTAGTACTGAAAAATGCATTTGAATTGCTCTACTAAGTTACCTCCTGAAAATATGTGAACAAAATGGGAATGCTTTTCCTTGACGCGCAAGTTTCACATTTTACATTAGGTGTTGAAACGTCGTTCGGTAACGTTTCTTTAAAAGTAACGCTTCAATTTGAAATTGAACCTATGTTTTGTATTTGTTCTGGGAATTAGTTTCACATTTGTTTCACATGTTTAACATTTATTGACATGTTAACGAGAAATGGTATTTGCATATCTTTACATTGACATAACATTGATTCAAATGAAGGCACCTCGGTGCAAATAAAAAGCATACCATTTCTTGACCAATTTTACTGTGCGTATCTACCCGGTGATATGTCTTCCACACCCGCGTCAGTATCACGCCTTGTCATAATATAGCTGTGAAGCCCATTTCTGGTGTGCCCCGCCGTGATATTGCTGGAATATTGCTAAAAGCGGCGCAAAACCATACTCACTCACTCACTCACTCATAATATAGCGCTGAACTGTGCGCCGCACGGGCATGCTCTAATGGACATTATTACCCCGGATAACCCAAGCTGTCTATAAAGCGCAAGAAGGTTAACAGTCAGATGACTTATCCCACCGGGTACCCATTTTCTGCTGGGTGAACAGAGACAATTTTGAACCTACTCACTTGCCTAAGGTGAGACCACATGTATCACATGCGCTTCGTTGTGGGGCGGGACAGAAGGCCTAGAACTTATCAGAATTCAAGCTGCCAAACACGGCCACCCATCCAAGATCTCTCCGTGACCAACGTTGCTTAACTTCAACTGATTTGTGATCTGGACCACACACCACCACGGTGTACGTCATGACGACACAACTGAACTAAACTTTATTTACACTCCGACCGCGTTCTGCGGCATTAGAGGTACATGTTTACATCACTATGATAATCTGACAACTTATACATTTAAATAAATGAATGATACACAAAATGGTAATATATATACATATCAGTTGGTAGCATGAATAAACTAGGAGTGTAAATGCATTTAACCAGTTAAAAGAAGAATATTTTGGGGCGTTGTTTAAAATGAGACATTATTATCTTGCAAAATATTGCTAATTTCGTAATTGTTCCTAGTTTATTACGCTGAGAAAGCCGGATCATTTTTTGCATATTCGAGCTTCTACAGTAATAGTTGTTGAGATCTGTTTTCCTTTCTGGGACTACGGTAAGGAAATAAACAACATCTGCAATGTCGTTTGAATTACAAAGAGAGCATAATCTTTCATTTGGGGGTGTTTTACATACAGATACACACAACACTTCCTGAAACCCAGTTGTCCAGAAACTCCTGCCATGTGGAGGTGACGCTGGAAGGGGGCATCGACCAGACATCAGTCCAGTGTTAGATGACCTTGACTGAAGCCTCTGTTACATGCCGGTTGCTGGGTTTTCTTTAGGATACCGCTTAATGTTAGTTGAACTTCTGTCATGCATTTTAATGCTTTACTTTATACTAAGTGTTAACATCAGTAGTGTCGATATCTGGCATGTCTCGGTCTCTACCACTGTCACTATGTAGTCCCTAGTCTTCCACATTAACAGTGCATGTTTTCAACCACGTTTCATTTTTAAATTGCAGCATGCGTGGAAAAACATACTCGTAAGTTGACCTCGGTATTTGCACGGCTTTGCGAACTTAAAAGTAGCAATACTGTTATGCAGTATAAGATAAGACGTCTTTTATGTAATACCTTACCCATTTCAAGGTTAATTCGTGCCAACAAGTCATGTGGTTATATTTTCACACTGTCCTGGGTAACGTTCCATATTGTTGCTGTGTTGGAAATCAAACCTATTTTCAATAAAGCTGCAATTGCGCGTTCAAGATGTGATGAGTAGCCGAGTGGTTAAAGCGTTCGCTCTGACTCGTGTTCGATTCCCCAAACGGGTACAAATTGTAATTCCCATTTCTGATTAATCAGCCCTCGATATTACTTGAATATTGCCAAAGGCCGCGTAAAGCTATACTCACTCATGAAATAGTGACCGAGTTTAGCTTTACGCCTCTCTTAGCAATGTTCCAGCAATATCAGGGCGGGGAACACCAGAAATGGGCTTCACACATTCAACTCATGTGGAAAGTCGAACTCGGATCTTCGTTGTGACGAGCGAACGCATTAAACACTACAACTGACCTGTGTAACCAAACCAGTATGCAACGACTCACAAATCAGCACCATCATGAGTTGGCTTAATGTTGGACCATCCGTTGCAGTAGTTGCACGAGCCCTGGGCTGTAGTCGTCAGACAATTGACAGTCTGACACTCCTGTATGCAACACACGAACACGGTTGTAGATTGCCCAAGGTCTGGGGCGCCGTATGAAGATGACGAACAAATCAGGTTACATCATCCCCAAAACCGATTTATGACTGCAATCTCCACTAGAAGACAGTTTTCCAGAGGTAGAGTGTCATCACAGACCATCAGGAATCGATTTGCGCACCGCAGGTAAGCAAGCTAGACGACCGGTCATGCTGCTATATGGTCCTTGACTAACATTTCAAAATGACAACGCTATGCCCTGAATTGCAGCTTTGACGCGCAACGTCTTACGTAAAGAAGGTGTTGGAGTCTTAAACCTTCCCATTCCCCAGACTTGAACCCAATAGACATTAGGGCTTAGTTGGGCAAAGGAATGCGACAACAGAGGAATCCACCCAAGACCATGCAAGAACTTGGGCGACTTAACGACTTCCGCTTTGACTTCCGGTTACACTGTTCCAACTGGTTCACATGTCCATAGGGGACGTTGTGTTGTCGTCACTGCCCTCGAGGAAAGTCACGCTCCTTATTGACTTCTTCTGTTCAAGGAATTTTATCAATGCGAAGTTCGCGTTAGGTGTTCATGGAACGTCCAGCATGACCTTTCCATTTACAAGATCAACTTTTCATTGCCTGTATCGTTACAGGGGCGGTGGGGTGGCCTTGTGGTTAAAGCGTTCACTCGTCACGCCGAAGGCCGGGTTCGATTCCCCGCATGGGTACAATGTGTGAAGCCCATTTCTGGTGTCCCCTCCATGATGTTCCCGGAATATTGCTAAAAGCGGCGTTAAACCATACTCACTCACTCACTCACTGTATCGTTACATGGATGATAGCAGTATGATACACATCAATATTCATAAGAATGTACACACGACTTCCATTGAGGGATTCAATTTAACACGTGTCAGGTTTTTAGTTTGGTTGAGTATATATCTGATATTTATCTTGTGACAATTGGAGATGTATTATTCTTATTCATTAATAGGTCTTTGTGTTGAAAACTGTATACACACACTGTTTGAATCCTTACATGCATTCAGGTAGTCGTTCTTTAAGTACTATTAGCACTGTCACATAGCGTCACGAACGGTTGTCTTGTACGCTCAATTAAGTATGTTCCATTAATGAAAACGCAATAAATCACCTGGAATCCCTGTCATATTATATGTGGGTTTCCCTTATCACGACCCAGCTCGCGTAACTCCAGCCCTTTTATCAATAAACACGACCTCGGACCATTGATAAGACCATGGTTTTGAAACCACGTCGTACTATGGAAAGTCAGAGTGATATTTACACACGTTGAAGTAATACAAAAATGTATAGTGTGTCACGAGGGGAGATCAGTTCTCAGGTAACACATTCATCATCATCGATTAGTTTATCTAATATCTGCTCATTTTTGTTATCGAACTCACACCCTCACGGGGACGGTGGGGTAGCCTAGTGGTTAAAGCGTTCGCTCGTCACGCCGAAGACCCGGGTTCGATTCCCCACATGGGTACAATATGCGAAGCCCATTTGTGGTGTCCACCGCCGTGATATTGCTGGAATTTTGCTAAAATCGGCGTAAAGCTAAACTCACTCACTCACTCGCACCCTCGCGACTTCTGGGCAAAGGAGTGAAACTTCAAATTGAAGAAGACATACGTAAAGTATTTTTATTGTTTGGAAAGGTCAAGTTCTGAGTTAATAACCCTTTATTAGGCAAATATTTGTATGTTTTATAAATTCAACCGACAGCTACAGTCTGCAATATAATCGAGTCTTCACCACCAAACCGTTGACTGAAAGCCCCATCAACGGTCAAGACAATCGGTAACCAACCCATGCCAAATTTAAGCCGACCCATGCGACATAGTACTATGGAGGGCCAGAAATCACACATTATATAACTTCAAAATATATAAACTCGCACATGACGTTATTTGCTCACAATTTAATTTTTGTCACAAAAGGAAGCCTTTAAACATCTGAAGTAGTTGAGTGAGTGAGTGAGTTGGGCTTTACGCCACTTTCAGCAATATTCCAGCAATATCATGGCGCGGGACACCAGAAATGGGCTTCATACATTGTACCCATTTGTGAATCAAACCCTGGTCTTCGGCGTGACGAGCGAACGTTTTAACCACTAGGCTACCCCACCGCCCCTTTAGGCAGCTGTTGACCAAGGTAATGTGATGTAAGAGTATCCGCCTACCTATTAGGGTCTGTGCTATAAGGGATCCACCATAGATGAGGCCGATCTCTTTCAGGTCGCTCCCCACTCCGTCAGCAGGGGGGTTAGGTTTGACGGTAAAACCCACGTGCTTCTCTCCCAGGCCACCACTACATCCCTTATCCCCAGACTCCGGTGTCACCCACACGTCTGTCAGGCGGTTGGGTTCTCGCCATGACACCCGACGTTTCACGGTGGCTGAAAGAGAAATACAGTATTGACTGGTATGAGAGGACTCCTGATTGGATGACATGGAAATTAGGACGGTCAATTATTAAAGGAAAATGGATGGACATTAAGAGCACATGAAACAAAGACACACGAGGGAGCGTGTATATCTATCTGATCATTTCAGACTAACTCGGACTATGTGGATGAATTTGAAATGAAAAGCGCCCGGACCTTCCATGATGATCAACGGAAAAATGATATTCACACGCAAAATGGTACACAGAGCTACATAATAAACACAGAGAACAACGGGACAATACATAGAACATAGAGAACAGTGGGACCATACATAAAACATGGAAAACAACGGGACAATACATAGAACATAGAGAACAACGGGACAATACATATAACATCGAAAACAGTGGGACCATACATAAAACATGGAAAACAACGGGACAATACATATAACATCGAGAACAGTGGGGCCATATATAAAACATGGAAAACAACGGGACAATACATAGAACATAGAGAACAACGGGACAATATATATAACATCGAGAACAGTGGGACAATACATAGAACGTGGAGAACAGCAGGACAATACAAAGAACATGGAATACAACGGGACAATACACAGAACATGAAGAAGCAGGACAATACAGAGAACATGGAAAACAACGGGACAATACACAGAACGTGGAGAACAGCAGGACAATACAAAGAACCTGGTGAACAGCAGGACAATACAGAGAACATGGAATACAACGGGACAATACACAGCACGTGGAGAACAGCAGGACAATACAGAGAACATGGAATACAACGGGACAATACACAGAACCTGGTGAACAGCAGGACAATATGGAACATTGAAAACGACGGGACAATACACAGAACGTGGAAAACAACGGGACAATACAAAGAACATGGAGAACAGCAGGACAATATGGAACATTGAAAACGACAGGACAATACACAGAACGTGGAGAACAACGGGACAATACACAGAACGTGGAGAACAGCAGGACAATACATAGAACCTGGTGAACAGCAGGACAATACATAGAACATGGAAAACAACGGGACAATACACAGAACCTGGTGAACAGCAGGACAATACAAAAAAAAACATGCAGAACAGTAGGACAATAAATAGAACGTGGAAAAGAATGGGACAATACATAGAACATGGAGAACAGCAGGACAATATGGAACATTGAAAACGACGGGACAATACACAGAACGTGGAGAACAACGGGACAATACACAGAACGGGGAGAACAGCAGGACAATACAGAGAACATAGAGAACAAGGAGACAACAGATACAACATGGAGAGCAACAGGGCAAAGCATTAAACATGGAGAAGACCGCGACAATACCGAGAATATGGAGAACAACGAGACAACACATACAACATAGAGAGCAATCAGAATAATACATTGGACATGGAGAAGAACGAGACAATATACAGATCATGGATAACCATATTTTTTTCAAATGAAAACATAATTTTTGGATTTAGGCGGGAAAATAATAACCCCTTTAATGCAATATGCTTGATTGTAAAACAATCAATTTACAGATATAGCAAAAAACAATCAAAACCAAATTTTCAGCGTATACAAAGAGAAATTGTAAATTATTACGAAGTGACGAAGTTTCTTGACTTTTCAAAATGCCAGTTTTCAGCCTTTTATATATATTGGTCATCCTTCCATACTCTCTTCGCAACTTTTGACAGGTAACATTTTACACTGAATGTTTATGGTAAAATGTTCAGTCTTGATTCTCAATGTAATAACTGTTCCATTAGACTGCATAGAAAGTGTATAGAAATATGGTGCTGAAAGAACTGTGTACATTGTTATGCCATATGATGTAATCATATTGTACAACCTTACATTTGGGGAAATAAAAACATTAAAAAACAGAAGAAAAAAAGAACACGGTGAACAACGGGCCAACAGGAAGAACATGGAAAAGAACGGGACAATACACAGAACAAGGAGCACAACGGGACATTGCAAGGAACACTGGGAACAGGAAATAAATAGAACATGGAAAACAACGGTATAAAAACAAAGAACATGGGGAACAACGTTAACGGGACAATAGAGAGGACCTGGATGAATAAATTGAAAATATAAGGAAGGCAGGGTGCATGAAAATACATGGACCAGCATGAGTACACAAGACGAGATAACATGAGTGTACTGAACAGGTGGCTTACAAATAACAGTGTGTGCATACAATGATGCATGGTGCAGGACGCGTATATAATAGCATGTAAAATACGTCTCCAAAGTCACGATATGGAACATGAGGAAAAATGATTATCATATTTTGAGAAACGAGAAAATGTGAAATATGTTTTCCCAAATACAGACAGAATGATACATATTTTTAATAAAGCACAAAATGTGGCATTAAACTTTCAAAATGTCTAAAACATGATACTGCAGTAGACAAGATCAACATAATAAACAGAACAACACTTAATATCACTTTACATGCCTAGCGAAGCACATTATGTCATTGTAGAGAAAATGACAGGTGGTTTCCGCTGGTTTGTTTTGATGAACTGATAGATAACATAAGTGGGACATCGTTTCTGTCCTCGCCCTGAAATTATTGTATTGGCTTTGAAGTATTTTTTTCTATTGCGATTAAGTACATAGCATCTGTCCAGAAGATCATGTCATACTGCTGCAGGACAAACAAAGACAAATGTGACGTAGTATTGAAATCTCTGTCCAATATCCAAACCGGAATAAATAATCGTCGCCGAGGTTTTATCAGAAACATCAGTAACATGGAACCTATGAGGTCAAACAGTCAAGTCACGTGAATCTAATTTTATTAGAAATTCGGCTGGTGTATTCTCACGAAATGATTTAATCAGATGTAATTGAAGTTTCCTATGTTGGGAGTACAAGAACTACAGCATATCTCCAACTTACCCCCAGAGCTGGTCATGTTAATGGATGTGCCGTGTGAGAGATAGGCTCGGTGTTTATCTCATTGTCCCTTATCATTTATCATACCTTTCTGTGTCACTTGTCACTAAACATGTCCTTTTTGGCCTTTCCACTCATGGTGGGGAACAAATATGTCCCCTCATTTGGTTGGTTCGTGAAATGCGTGCGCGTGCTCACGCGCGGCTGTGTTTGGTACCCGTGCTCTGGTTGGTTGGTGCAGTTCATGCGCATGCTCAACTGCCCAGTGGCCTCGGACTTTTTGTAGATGTAATCACGGGATGTGTTCAAAACAGCTCTCACTTCTTCAGAACCAGTGAGTGAATTCTTCGGTAACCAGTGTCCGATAAACCGTCTCGAGGAGGGGAGGGGGGAAGCTACGTTACTGGTTAATGTCAGTGTGTTATCATTGCTTTATTGGCTTGGGGGTTTGTAACACATTCCTTCATAATGGACTCCTTAAACGTTTTTGAGTGCGAGATAAACTTCAAATAAACGTTTTTGGATTGAGATATGGTTTGTATCACCCGTTGGTCTCGAGGAAGTGCGGATAAGGGCGTTGAAAACAAACATCCAAAATGTTCAGTTATATATGGAATCCTCGAAGGGACATTATTGCGTTGTCGCCCTTACAAAAACAAGCTAAAAATTAACCAAAGGCATGTTTTGATCAATGTACCATTGTATGGTTGCCTTTTTATGGGATGTTTGGTGTTTACGGCAACGCAACAGTTCTCAGTGTCAAAATATGTCACGTTGTCAGCTCATCTAGAATGTGTGAAGTGGCATAATGATAATTATAAACATGTTTCCATAGTCGACAATCAGTGTTCCTACACCGTGCCGGACAATACAGGCCCAAATAATCAAACTAATGGCAAAAGAACTTTATATGTTGACGAGGTCCACTTCGAGTCACATTTCTCACACGTCCAGTACCAGTAAATGTCTTGATTGCTTCTCTGTTCCTACATACACACACTTGTGGAAATGGTCTCAAGACGAAAGCACACTAGTGAGTGAGTGAGTTTAGTTTTACGCCGCTTTTAGCAATATTCCAGCAATATCACGACGGGGGACACCAGAAATGGGCTTCACACATTATGCACACTAGTAAATATGCCAAGTGACTATCGAACACATTGCAGAGGCTGTTAAAACACATCGTACATAAGATACTGTACAGTATTACTGAACACAGTTACCAATATCGTGGCTATAAGTTTAGATACAAGGTGTATGTACAATCACAAATTATTTCTGAAGGATTCTTTGACCGATGATCTTCACATGCACATTCTGATTGGTTTGTCGTATTTTGCACATAGCTTTCATAGTGAGTGAGTGAGTTAAACTGTATAGTCACATCGGCAATATTTCAGCCAGATCGTCACTAAAACAGGCTACACATTCGTGAAAAATACAGTTATATATAAATTATAAAAACAACAAGTAGAAAATCACAACAATAGACTTTAAATGTAGCGTGTAACTTTAAAATCATATCACAACATGAAAACATGCTGTATATTACCACACTGGGGACCATGGTGTGTTACAGTACAGCAATATTTCAGCCATATCGTGACGAGGACATTTTATAAATTAAAGATGAATAGATTTTGAAGATTAAAACCTGTCGACGATGGACAGTAAAACTACAGTTGTATCACAGATATTAAGGTAAAACTAGAATGTTATTATAAAGAACATATCACTAAAGAGAACAATACAGTCTTAAAACGGGCTAATGATCACCAGCAACTGAAGGAAGATCACCATACTAGGGACCATGGGGACTTACAGTGCCTTTGCTACCTGCATGGACCTTTGCTGGATTTACACCATCCCTCCAGCCGTTGACGATTGTACACAGACTTCAGCCATCACTTGAAATAACAAATATACTTCGATTACAAAACTGGTAGATATACAAATACCTTGAATGACATACCCTCTCATGGGGCAATAATTTTACAGCACTTCCCCAGTCGAGGGCACTGCCACTAACAATCTCAGTTAATAATCATACCCCACCTATTGATCAAATATACATCAGAAGTTATCAATCAATTCAATTTCCTTTTTAAAAAAACACTTTATAATTAAACGAGAACTAATACTATCTGAAAGATCCTTCACAGATGATGATTTGAAACATTGATCCATTGCAATGGAACAATCAGTAGTGAAGGAGTGTATGCTTGACCGTGTCAACGACAGGGAGACGCGTGGCAGGTAAGCTCATTCTTTGCCACTCGCCCAATTCCGAGTTTTCTTGCAGGTTACTGAAAGGGGCGAGTGTTGACTAGTGAGCTTACCTGACACGCGACCACGATTGTGAAAATAACCAACTTCGTTGTCGAACTGCATCATAATATGTATGAGTGGGTTTCGTTTTTACGCCGATTTTAGCAATATTCAAGCAATATCACGGCGGGGAACACCAGAAATGGGTTTCACACATTGCGCCCACGTGGGGAATTGAACCCGGGTCTTCGTCGTGACGAGCGAACGCCTTAACCACTGGGCTAATCCACCGTCCATCATAATATATATAAATGTTAGATTTTAGATGTTGTTATTTCAACTAATGTAAGTTATAATAAGGCCTTCCTCTCTACATGTATATACTGGCGTTCAAATGCTACACACCTGGTGTTTTGTGATTATTTTCCAAAAAAGAGACCCGTAAATATATAGTTTGAAAAGCGTTTTGATTGTGACTTATAAGAACTATCAGTAATGCGTTTCGACACTGACGTACTTCCACTTGTACTTTGGCGCTGTAGCTGATGTCGTGCGCCTGTTTGACGCCGCACCCAGCTATAATCCAGCTATATGGCGACTGTCTGTAAAAATCGTGACCAGACAATCTGTGACAACAAGTCAATTTTAGCTTCGATCAATGATAAGGAACGGTGGGTGAGTGAGTTTAGTTTTATGACGCTTTTAGCAATAGTCCAACATATATCACGACGGGGACACCAGAAATGGGTTTCACACATTGTAACGATGTGGGGAATCGAACCCGGGTCTTCGGCGTGACGAGCGAACGTTTTAACCACTGGGCTACCTCAACGCTCCCATAAGGATCAAGTGACCTTGAAGTACATATCAGCAATGTCAATGTTCAATCAGCGATTGGTGTCTCAATAGACAGAACCATGTATATGATATTCAATAACAACAAACTAGGAGATGAGCCCCAGGAATGTGCTGAGTATTACCGCAGATATAACGCGAGCATGATATCTAACATCTTGGTTCTCATGAGGTGAGGTGAGGTGAAATTGGGTTTAACGTCGTGCTTTAGAATATTTCGCTCATATGACGACGTGCATGCGTGTGTATGTGTATGTGCGGCTGCTTGTACTAGCCCAGACTGAAGCTGTTTTTATAGTGCTAGCCCACTGAGATACCATTCCGCAGTGAAGCATGAATACCCCACTCAGACACATTATAATGGTTCCGAGCCGACCAGTCCTTGTTGTACCCATTAATGCCGAGCGCCAGGCAGGGACCAACAAGTACCATATTTTAACGTCGTTTGGTATGACGCGGCCGGGGATTGGTTCTCATGAAGTAACTTGGACTTGGGTAAAGTAACTTTTGATTTCCTGTTTCCAAGCATTACGGGTGAATTACCTTCGAATTTACCTGGTAATGTCTCGCGACGTTACTGTTGAAGTAACGTCACACATCCCTTGTGTGAACTGAACGGATGAAGTAAATTCATATTTCCCTGTAACGGCAGTTATGTGCACGTTGTACACTAGGAACTTTGTGTTAGGATGTATTGTGACAGAATCACGAAATCACGTAATCAGAATTACATACTACTATCGGAAGGCAGAACATTTTTTTCTACTGAGGATTTCAACGAATCAATGCTTATATGCCCCCTCTTCGTCCAAGACATCGTTAAACGAACGAAGATTCAAGATACTGCACAGGGCCTCCTTTCACAAAGCACTAAGGTGATCGTAAGTCACTAAGGTAACCTTAGTGCAATGTTAAGGAATGGGTGTTAAGGTTAACCTTAGTAAAGGTTGCTTCGTGAAAGGAGCCCCAGGACGTGGGGACCGAGTATTGTATGCACGAGGAAGATTTCGGGTTCAAAGGTAGCCCAGTCAGACCGCTACCCAGAAAGCTGATTCAGGGCGGGTTCCGTAGAGCTAGAACAATCGATGTCCACGTCCTACAAGTGAGTGAGTGAGTGAGTTTATTTTTACGCCGCACTCAGCAATATTGCGGTCTGCAAATAATCGAGTCTGGACCAGACAATCCAGTGATCAACAGCATGAGCATCGATCTGCGCGATTGGGAACCGATGACATGTGTCAACCAAGCCAGCGAGCCTGACCACCCGACCCCGATAGTCGCCTCTTACGACAAGCATGGGTTACTGAAGGTTCATTCTAACCCGGACCTTCACGGGTTCCACGTCCTACAACAGAGCGATGACAGGTACGTGCTACATTTTCGATGTGTACGTACGACCTTGTTCACACGATGATAACGCACGACCTCTGGTGTCTTCTAAGAGAAGGAGTCTATAGTCTGTCTAGTGTCCGGCTCATTCCCAACACCTAAGCTCTTTCGAACACACGTGGAACGAGCTGCAAATCTCACGACGCCCTGTCCTGCGGGCAACGTTCGAGAAACTCGGCATTGCTCTTACTGAAGGGTGGAAGAAGTATCCCTTGGCAAACATCTAAACATTTATTAGGAGAATGAGGTGCCATGACGTGACCGTATCACCTAGATCCCATACGCGCTGGTGAGAATTATCTTTTGGACAAAGAACTGTTTTCGTGGTTATTTTACGTTTCAGTTGTGATCAGATTCCCTCGTAGTGACGGCTCGTCAGACTCATGATTGGTCACATGTTGTTGCCTGTATTACTAGTATATGGAGCTTGGCCACGGACTTTTGTTCATTAAACATGCCTTCGCCAAATACATACTGTCTTTGGCTAATTCAACAACTACTCCAAATTTCACCTTTGATCTTTTAAGGTGGTGATGCTTAGCAAACTTTGAGCAGTATATGTGGGACATTGGGGACGTGCA